GAAGTAGTAGTAGGCGTAGTAGTAGTAGCCGCAGCCGTTGTACCATTAGTAGCCGCAGCCGTTGTAGTAGTACTAGTAGTAGTGGTCGTAGTAGCAGTAGTAGTAGTAGTCGTATTGGTAGTAGTAGTAGTAGTAGTAATAGTAGTAGTAGTAGTCGTCGTCGTCGTCGCAGGAAAATTAGTACTAATAGTAGTGGTAGTAGTATTGGTAGTAGTAACAGCAGCAGTGATTGCCACATCATTGGTCGCAGTCATAGAAGTCGCAGGGGTGGTAGTACTGGTAGTAGTGACAACAGCAGCCGTAGTCGTATTAGTAGTGATAGAAGTCTTATCTGTAGTCGCAGTAGGAATTGTAGTAGTAGTAGTAGTAGTAGTAGTAGTAGTAGTCGTAGTAGTAGTCGTAGTAGTAGTAGTAGTAGTCGTAGTAGCGATCGGGGGTACTAGTCATACCAGTAGCAGTAGAGGTGGTGGTCGCAGACGCCTTAGCAGCAATAGTAGTAGCAGCAGTAGTAGTGGTAGAAGCAGTAGTAGCAGTAGTCGTTTGTAGTGGTAGCATTGGTGGTAATAGCAGTAGTTGTAGGCAGTTGTGGTAGTAGCAGTAGTGGTTGTAATAGTTGTACGTTGTGTAGTCGTATTAGCAGTCGTAGTGGTAGTAGTAGTAGCAGTAGTAGTAGTAGTAGAAGTAGTAGTAGTAGTAGTAGTAGCAGTCGTAGTAGTAGTAGTAGCAGTAGTATCAGTCGTAGTAGTAGTAGTAGTAGTAGTAGTAGTAGTAGTAGTAGTAGTAGTGGTAGTAGTAGTAGTAGTAATCGTCGTCGCCGTAGTAGTCATAGTAGTGGTACCAGTCGAAGTTGCAATTTTGGTAGTGGTAGTCGCCGTCACCGTACGAGTCATATTTCTCGTAAGAGATAGTAGTGGCAGTCGTTGTCGACGTAGCCGTAGCCGTCATAGCAATAGTAGTAGCCGCCGTGGTGGTAGAGGTAGTAGTGGTTGTAGTAGTGGTAGGAGTAGCAGTAGTAGTCGCAGTAGTGGTCGTGGTCGTGGGCGTCGTCGTGGTTGAATCCGTAGTCACAGCAGTACTTGTATGAGCAGCCTTAGAAGGAGTAGTAGTAGTAGGCGTCGTCGTAGTAGTAGCAATAGTAGTAGCATTAGTAGTGGTTAACGTGGCGGTGGCTGTAGTGACAGTAGCGGTCTTAATTGTAGTAGTAGTAGTAGTAGTCGTAGTAGTAGTAGTAGTAGTAGTAGTAGGAGTAGTAGTAGTAGTCGTAGTAGTAGTAGTAGTAGTAGTAGTAGTCGTAGTAGTAGTAGTAGTAGTAGTAGTGGTAGTAGTAGTCGTAGTCGTAGTCGTAGTCGCAGTCGTAGTCGTAGTACTTAGCAGTAGTATCAGTAGCAGTTGTTGTTCCAGTAGAAATAGCAGCAACACGAATAGTCGTAGTAGCAGTAGTAGTAGTAGTAGTAGTAGTAGTAACAGTAGTAGTAGTAGTAGTAGTAGTAGTGGTAGTAGTAGTAGTAGTAGTAGTGGTAGTAGTAGTAGTAGTAGTAGTAGTAGTGGTCGTCGTCGTATATTAGTAGTAGTAGTAGTAGTAGTAGTAGTAGTAGTCGTCATCGTAGTGGTGGTAGTAGTAGTAGTAGTCGTCGTGGTGGTAGTAGTAGTAGTAGTAGTAGTAGTAGTAGTAGTCGTGATGTGGTACTACTAGTAATAGTAGTAGTGGTAGCAGTCGTAATAGTAGTATTCGAAGTCGTCGTTGTAGTACGCGTATCAGTGGTAGTAGTAGTAGTAGTAGTAGCATTAGTGGTAGTAGCAGTCGTAGTGGTTGTCGTAGTAGTAGTAGTAGTAGTCGTCGTAGGAGTATGAGTAGTAGCAGTCAACGTGTGAGTAGTAGTAGTAGTAGTAGCAGTAGTAGTAGCAGTGTTAGTAATCGTAGTCGTAGTATTAGTCGTAGTAGTAGTAGTACTAGTAGTAGTGGTAGTTTGAGTAGCAGCAGCAGTCGTAGTAGTAGTGGTAGTAGTAGTAGTAGTCGTAGTAGTAGTAGTAGTAGTCGTGATGGTGGTACTACTAGTAATAGTAGTAGTGGTAGCAGTCGTAATAGTAGTATTCGCAGTCGTCGTTGTAGTACGCGTATCAGTGGTAGTAGTAGTAGTAGCATTAGTGGTAGTAGCAGTCGTAGTGGTTGTCGTAGTAGTAGTAGTAGTAGTCGTCGTAGGAGTATGAGTAGTAGCAGTCAACGTGTGAGTAGTAGTAGTAGTAGTAGTAGTAGTAGTAGCAGTGTTAGTAATCGTAGTCGTAGTATTAGTCGTAGTAGTAGTAGTAGTGGTAGTTTGAGTAGCAGCAGCAGCAGTCGTAGTAGTAGTAGTAGTAGTAGTAGTAGTGTAGTCGTAAAAGTCCTAGCCGTAGTAGTAGTAGTCGTAGTGGCAGTAGTAGCAGCAGTCCGTGGTCGTATGCATTGTATTATGGTTATTATTAGTAGTAGTAGTAGTAGTAGTAGTAGTAGCAGTAAACGTGGTAGTAGTAGTAGTAGTAGTAGTAGTAGTATCAGTCATATGTTTGGTAGTAGTAGTAGTAGTCGTAGTGGTAGTAGTAGTAGTAGCAGTTGTCGCAGTCGTAGTAGTAGTAACCGTAGTATCAGTAGTAGTAGTAGTAGTAGTAGTAGTAGCAGTAGTAGTAGTAGTAGTCGTAGTAGTAGTAGTAGTCGTCGTCGTAGCAGCAGCAGCAGCAGTAGTAGTAGTAGTAGTAGTAGTAGTCGTAGTAGTAGTAGTAGTAGTAGTAGTAATAGTAGTCGTAGTAGTAGTAGTAGTAGTAGTAGTAGTAGTAGTAGTAGTAGTGGTAATAGTAGTCGTAGTAGTAGTAAGTAGTAAGAGGAGGAGGAGAAGGAGGAGGAGGCAGGACGCAGGAGTGGGAGTGTGAGGAGGAGGCGGAAGAGCAGGATGTGATCCTCCGTCCATGTTGACCAGGAGGCTTCTTCTCCTCCCATCTCCTCCTCTTCGACGCTGCCACAGGGACGAGACATATGAAACATATGATGATGATGCTGATGCTGATGGTAAGGAGGTGGAGGAGGAAGATAATGAGGAGGTGGAGGGGGAGGGATGGAGGAACGTGGGTAACGAAGAAGAGTAGGAGGAGAAAGGGGAGGAGGATGAGGATGAGGAGGAGGAGGAGGGGAAGCAGAAGGAGGAGGAGAAAAATATTGGATTCGAATGATGGCTGCAGCCAGGTGAGCCCCCAGCGGAGGTGTCCGATGCCCCTCGCCGAGTGGGCCCGCAAGGGCCGCAAGGGGGAGGGTGCGGAGGTGCTCGCAGAGGAAGACCACGCCGTCCAGCGCGACCCCCGCCATGGGCCGCCTGTGTCACGGTGCACACACCTGGCTGGGGTAGTGCGCGCAGCGAGGGCGTGGCGAGTGGAGCGGGTGCCCTCGTGACCGACCTGGGAGATCAGGCGTTCCCCCCCGAAGATCTACTGGAAGTGCGCCCTCCCTGAAGCCTGCAGGTCCCTCGCTTTTCGGCCACACCGTCGTCGAGGTCATGGGCCTGACCTCAGGCGCCGCTGTCATAATGACGTGGTCTGGGAGCTCTCTGGCCGTTCCTCGGCTGCTCCCTCTCCCATTCTTGCCCCTCCTTCGCCTCGGATGCGTCCCGCCGTTCGAGCGAACGCTTACTGATTCCAACTCGCCGCAGACCAAAAGAGTTCCCTGAAGCCGCTCTCGACCTCAGACCGCCAAGGTTTCTCCAGTCTCTCGGCATCGAGCGCAGCCTCAAGGGCGGCTTCTTGCCAGCAGGTCGACGTGGGACACGAATGCGCAAATTGCAGGGGCAGCCAGGGCGCCGATCCGATTCATTTCGCTCGCCGACCCGACTTCTCGATCCGATTCTGGGCTCTCCTGGAGAACCGGCAAGGCAAGGATCCGATCCTGGGCTCGTCCTGGAGAACGGCCAGAGAGAGAGAGAGAGAGAGCGACTTTGAGGCGCGCGCAGCTCGCCGAGGCGGTGGGCCTCTCAGGAGGGACCGGGGCGCCTCTCAGAGGGCTTCCTGCGGGGCAGGCCTCGGAGGCCGTGGCCATAAGCCGCTCGGATCTCCGCGCCGATGTCTCGGATCGGAGCTGGGCCCCCCCCCGTCCCTGGCGCGCGGGGCGCTCCTCCTCCTCCTCCTCCTCCTCCTCCTCCTCCTCCTCCTCCTCCTCCTCCTCCTCCTCCCCCTCCTCTCCTCCTCCTCCCTCCTCCTCCCCTCCTCCTCCTCCTCTCCGCCTCCTCCTCCCCTCCTCCTCCTCCTCCTCCTCCTCCTCCTCCTCCCTCCTCCTCCTCCTCCTCCTCCTCCTCCTCCCTCCTCCTCCTCCCCCTCGGGTGCCGCCGTGGGACCTCCCGCGCCAGGTCCGGGGGCAACCGCGGGGGGGGAGCCAGCACCTGTGCCCGACAGGGGGGCCCCGACTCGGGCTCCCCCGCCCTCGTGCTGGGCCCCCCTCCGCACGCCGGGGCCGCCGGCGATCCGATCCGACCCGCCGGCCGGGGCCGCGGTGCCGACTCGGTTCGCGGACCTCCGACGCCTGGGAGAGTTCGAGAGACGCCAGAAGCATACTCCAGATTTCGTGATAAAGGGAGGGGGGTCTCGTTTCGGGGGGGGGGTCTCTTCCAGGCTCTCTTGGAGGGCCTGGGGGGTCTGGGGACGATGTTTTGGAGGGTTCTCCCACGCGGGAGGTCTGAAATGGCTTGTCTTGGAGGGTCCAGACCCCCTCCCTTTTACTACGAAATCTGGAGTAGGGTTTTGGCGCTCCGCGCGGATTTCTTGGATCCGCGCTGGGCCCGCCGGCGGCGCCTCCGGCGCCGCACCTGGCGCGCTCCGCGCGCCAGGGAGGGGGGTCCAGCGCAGATCCAAGAGATCCGGGCGGAGCGCCAAGACTTTCTGTTTATGGCGTTTCTTCTTATCCCAAAAGTGCACTCTGGAAGTTCTTTGGTAGTTTTCGGCCTCGGGGGGCCCTCGCCGGGCCGTGGGCCTGTCGAGGAGCGATTCAGGCCGAACAGCTGGCCCCGCGGAGAGGGTCGGGGCTTCCGGGGACCGCGCACGGAACCGCGGGCCCCCGAGGCAGACCTCGAGGAAGATCTCCGGTCTTGAGGCGACCTCGTCGCAGATCCAGGTTTCCGATCCGAGCCGGCGTCGCTTCTCGATGCAGCTCGGGCTGGGCCCCTCTGCCGTGCAGGTGATCTCGGGGCACCGCTCCGCCCACGCATTCGCGGCGCAGTACGCCAGGAAGTTCGTGGAGGACGGGCGCGGGAGCGGGAGCGACTCGGCGACGAGCAGGAGGATTTTCTAACATCAGCAACAGCCACCAGCAAGACTGCAACGGTAGTGATACTAACACATGCTTTGAAACATGATCATAATCCATCTTGCTCGAGATCATGGACTCCTTCAAAGTCCACCCGGGTCGTCGAGCTGCATTTCGGATAGAGGCCTCAATATTCGCCTCAACAAACTCGTCTTCTGCGGGGTCATCTCGAGGGAACACCTGCCAGGAAGACTGGTCTTCTTCAAAGACCTAGAGCTGCAGGAACAGGAGCAGTGCGTGCAAGTGTGCAGGGCCTCACCGTTGCTGCACGGCAGACCGACCACAGAATGACCGAGGCGCGCACTCTCCCTCCCCGAAAGCCCACTCGCCCGGCAATCCCCCAGAGGGCGGGCGGCGTCCCGAGACCGAGAGTTCTTGCAACCGCACTGGCATCTCCAGCGTCCTCTCTCAGACTTCCAGGCGTGGTGCCTCGGGTCCGACTGCCGAGGCCGCCCGCGGCGCGTCGGTCGGATTCGGCCGCGGCCACGGAGACAGGAAGGCCGCAGCCAGCTCACTGACGTTCTTCGCCGCAGGAGAGGTCTCTGCTAGGGGGTTGCGCTGTCGCGCCCGCCTTCGCAGCCTCACCCGCCTGGAAATCCTGCCTCCGCAGGAACACGTCACCCTCGGACACCCCCTTTCCTCCTCCAGAGAAAGATTGGCCTTGACTTTACTGGCCGGCCCTATCAGAAGTCTGATTCTCTGACTACATAGTAACAAGCCCGCATACGGCCTCTGATAGTGCATCTGCTCACCCAGGGGCCTCCTAGCATGTACGTTGCACATTCGCACAGTCTGTATACATGTTAGCTTCCCCTTCCAGGACCTGGGAAGCGCAGCTGTAGGCCGCAAACTCGCCCGCTTGGGGTGTTTGCGAGAAGGCACCGCACACCGTGCCGGAACAACGCCCAAGGAGCCTTCTAATGGAGTAGGAGGACGGCAAGGACGAGGAGGAGCCATTCCGAGCCCTGAGGCATTACCTTACACTGATCCATCTGGTTCCTGATCAACTGCAGCATCATTAGCCCCCCACCCCCTCCTCCCTTCCCCCCTCTGACGGCGGTGCATCAGCGATCGGCGCGCAACGGCGGCTCCCCAGGGTGACCGCGTCATTCGCCGAGCACGGGATAGGCGGTGCGCGCTAGCGTGAGCGCAGCAGCAGGAGAAGGATGGCAGGATGGATCAAGACAAACGGGGATGGGGCTGAAGATGATCATGATGATCAACATGATGATAGTCTCGGTGATGCCGCTGTTGACGACGATGACGATATGATGATGATGGCGAGGATGACGATGATGATTGTGATGTAATTGATGATGAGGCTGATGATGCTGATGATGAAGATGATGATGATGTTGATGTTGATTATGATAATGAAGATGATGATGATGCTGATGCTGATGCTGATGCTGATGGTGACGATGATGATGATGATGATGATGATGTTGATGATGATGATGATGATGATGATGAGGAGGAGGAGGATGATGAGGAGGAGGATGATGATGATGATGGTGATGATACTGATGATGCTGATGATAAGGATGATGCTGATGCTAATGCTGATGATGCTGATTATGATGCTGATGCTGATGATTATGATGATGATGATGCTGATGATGGTACAGAGGAGGACAATGAAGATACTGATGTTGTTGGTCATGGCGGTTGTGGTAGTAATGTGCTAGGCACTGTAGCCATCGCGAGTCCCCACGCAGGGTTGTTAGCAGAGGACGCGAGCAAGTGGAACTCTCCGGCTTGCGCATGCCACCTCAGGGGAGGAGGTGTCCGGGGCGCTATTGTTGACGCGCACTTCTAGAGAACCAGACATGTATATACATTCGCCATGATTTTCGCAGGCCCGCTCAGATTCTTGTGAAGGCGCCGGACCCGCATCCCCACGCGCGGACCGCGCCAGCGGCGGCGCCGGAGGCGCCGTCAGGCAGGGCTGGAACGAAACGCTATGTTGCCGGACCGCTTCTGTGTTTGTTTTTCGTTTTGGCAGGGAGGTACAGGAAAACAGGTAGAGCAAAACGAACAACAACACAAAACCAAAACAACAAACAACGTTTAGGCCCAGCCCTGCCGACAGGGGTGTGGGGAGGGGGTTCTGCACCGACCTCCCCAGTCGGGGCGTAGACATCGAAAGTCTGCCCTGACGGGGACAGCCCAATACTTTCGGATCATTTTTTGGTGGATCCAATTCCTCCTCCTCATCCTCCTCCTCCCCCTCCTCCTCCTCCTCCTCCTCCTCCTCCTCCTCCTCCTCCTCCTCCTCCTCCTCCTCCTCCTCCCCCTCCTCCCCCTTTGACCCAGGTTCGGGAGCTACTTCAGGGCCAGCCTGGGTTTCCGACGCGGCCCAGGCCGATTCGGGCCAGCGCTGACCCGGGTCAGGCCGTCCCCGACCCGAGAAGTCCGCGCGGACCTCCCGACGTTCATGCACTGCTGGTGCCGTGGATCGGCTCCCGGGCCTGTCTGGGGGTACGATGTGACCAGGGTTTCGAGGAGGATGCAGCCGTGGCGACGGGAGGGCCTCCCGGATGTCCCAGAAGGGCAACAGGCGTCCAAGATGTTCGATTTTCGAAGCTCGATCTTCTCTTGTGATCCTTCCCCTCCATCGGAGGGACGATATGTGACACCACCACCAGAGGGCCGCTTTGGAGGGTTTCTCCGAAGGGCTTAGGCGACCCGTCCTCTTCTCTCCCTCCTCCTCCTCCTCCTCCTCCCTCCTCCTCCTCCTCCTCCTCCTCCTCCTCTCCTCCTCCTCTCTCCTCTCCTCCCTCCTCCCCCCTCCCCCTCCTCCTCCTCCTCCCCTCCCCTCCTCCCCCTCCCCCTCCCCCTCCCCCTCCTCTTCCTCCTCCTCTTCCTCCTCCTCTTCCTCCTCCTCGCCCTCCTCACCCCGGGTCGCCGACGGCCCCGGGGGAAACCGTCCAGGTCACGAGGCCTCCCCGAGGGGGAGCTGCGCGAACAATTCCTCGGGGGGGGCGGGGGCGCTGCGGAAAACAGGGGGTCCACACCGCCAGGGGAACCCTCGCTGGCCCCTGCCTCTGGTGACGCTGGCGTCCTCCTCTCCCTTCTCCTCCTCCTCCTCCTCCTCCTCCTCCTCCTCCTCCTCCTTCCTCGTCCTTCCTCGTCCTTCCGCCTCCTCCTCCTTCCTCCTCCTCCTCCTCCTCTGACGCCCTCTGACGTCCTTCGTCACCATCCCCCCGACGCCGACGCCCTGCGAAGGACAACTCACCCCGACCCCCTTCGCGGTCCGCCTCCCCACGCTCGATCATCGAACAGCTCGGAGACGACGCACTGTCGGATGAAGAGCGGCGTGCTATTTGAACGTTTCGGCCTAGGGCGCCCAGAGCGGCTGGAAAGTTGAAACCCCGCCGAGGTGCCTCCGTTGAGTTCTTCACATTCCCATCTCCTCTCGATGCAAAGTGTATGTTGTACCGTTCTCGGAAACTGGAACATATACAGCACCAGTAGCGGGTCGTTTTGCAATCCCACGACTCTTTGAGTGTCTGCGGCGACGACAGGGTGGTGTGGTGTATATTGTTTTATCCGCTTCCTGGGGAAACAGCGAAACATGTATACAAGAGGGTCCGTACATACCAGAATCCGATTCTTGTGCAAATGTCAGTGCAGCGCCTGACAAACAAGTATCGGTGTACAGAGCTTGGTTCCCTACGTCCTTCGTCCGCGACGGACATCCCGCCACAGTGGTTAGATTACATTCTCGGGGGACCACAACTTTTTTTTTTTTTTTTTGTGTGTGTGTGCCCGACACGGGCTCCATGCGGACTCGACGCGGACTTTGCGTGGACTCGGCGCGGATTCGGCACGGATTCGACACTAATCCGACGAGTCCGACATCTACGCATTCGGATTCGAGGCGGATAGGGCCGCGACGGGACAGACAAGGTCCCCCCGAGGAGGCAGCACGACGCCCCCCGACCCCCGACGTCATGATTTCGGGCGTAGCTCGAATCTGTTTCTCGCGAGGTAGACTGACTTGAACTGAACTGAACTGAGCTGTACGGTAGGTCCGTGTCGTGTCGACCCGCGGCGACCTTGCCGCCGGCGTTCAACGTTGAACGCCGCGGGTGATCCAGAATCGTTCGATGTGGAACGATTTACACGTTTCGGAAACGGCTGATCGTTCAGTGTTGAACGTTCCCCGCTGTGTCAGAAACCAACGCCGAAGTCGGCACGACTCAAGCCTGCCGTACTTACACTGACCGGTCGCACCCGCCGAGGGCACACCCTACGGCGCCACCGACAGGAGGCGGGTTTCTTCTCGGCCGCCGAGGGCGCAGCCCGTGGCGCATGGCGCCACCCATCGGAGACGGTTCTATTCTCGGCCGCCGAGGGCGCAACCTGTGGCGCATGGCGCAACCCATCGGAGACGGTTCTATTCTCGGCCGCCGAGGGCGCAACCTGTGGCGCAAGCGATCGGAGACGGTTCGGCCGCTGAGGGCGCAACCTGTGGCGCAAGCGATCGGAGACGGTTTTATTCTCGGCCGCTGAGGGCGCAACCTGTGGCGCAACCGATCGGAGACGGTTTTATTCTCGGCCGCCGAGGGCGCAACCTGTGGCGCAACCGATAGGAGACGGTTTTAATTCTCAGCCGCCGACGGCGCAACCTGTGGCGCAACCGATCGGAGACGGTTTTATTCTCGGCCGCCCACGGCGCAATCTATGGCGCAACCAATAGGAGATTGTTTCTACACGACAGGCTTCTTCCATTCCGCTGGCATCCCTGCGGCAGGGTCTGTGACCTGGGCCGGCGTTGAGCCGCTTTCTTGAACTGCAAGCGGGCCAGCGAGGGCGTCGAGGACCGAGGTGCCAGGAGAAGGAGGATGAGCAGGAGGAGGAAGAGGAGAAACGAGGGCGAGGTCCTAGACGAGGACGACGAGGAGGAGCTGGAACAGGAGGAAGACGAGGAAGACGAGGAGGATGAGGAGGAGGACGAGGATGACGACGACGACGATCAGGATGGGGAGGAGAACGGGGAGGAATACAAGTAGTGCGAGGACGAAGTGTTGGCGTTCGAATGCGTGCGGGGCTACGCCCGATTTTTGCTTGCCGTTTGGTCTGACGGTGGGGCCCAAGCGGCGAGCTGCCTTGTGATTTTTCATACCCGTTCCCTAGGACCGGTTTCTCATCCCGAATCTGTTCTGTTGGCCTTGGGGCCCCTGGAAGGGACCCCAGAGGCCGAAAAGGTAGAACATCCTCCCGTCGTGACTCTCTCATGACGCGAGGGGGTCTGCGTCCTTCGTCCGCGACGAGCGTCCCGTCCCAGAGGGCAGGGCAGGGCCTCAACCGGGGCGCCCAGAACGACGTGGTGGACGCCGGCCCCGTGGACTTCTAGGGAAAGGGCGCCCCGCCCGCGCCGCCCGCCACACGCAGTCGATGCTCGTTTTGGGGGGCCTTCCCGGGGTCCTCTTCCTCTCTCCTCCACCTCCTCCTCCTATTCCTACTCCTCCCCCACCTCCTCCCCCTCCTCTTTCTCCACCTCCTTCTCCCCCACCTCCACCTCCTCCTCCTCCTCCTCCTCCTCCTATTCCTCCTCCTCCTCCTCCTATTCCTCCTCCTCCTCCTCCTCCTCCTCCTTGAGGGATCTGATCGACTCCAGTTCGGCTCCAGTTCGGCCCACCTGACGGATCTGTTCGACCAACTCCAGTCAGGCGATCGCAAACATGGGTCAAGGGGGCGTGGATTAGCGACGGGTCCCAATTCCATAGGGATTCGCGTATTTCCGCCGCCGAGCGAGGCGGCTTTGGCCGCATTTCGGGGAGGGCAATGCCCCCGATCCATGGATTTGGCCACCGCGCGCCAGATCCACGGATTGCGAATCCATGTTTGTGCGCCCCCTAAGTTCGGCTCAAGTTCGACTCAGCTTCGGCGCTGGTTCGACTCAGTTTCAGCGCAGGTTCGAATCATGTTCGGTTCGGGTTCGGTTCGAGTCGACGGACGTTCGACGCAGCTTCGACGCACGAATTGAGCGAGTGGCCCCAAAAAGGTCCTCAGAATGAAATGATAATCCGACACCCTTGAAGAGAACCGCAGGGGGGGGTGGCTGGCGGGTTGGGCAACCATGGTGCCTGAGGCCTGGACGGCGCATCAGCTGAGAGAGATTTTGAGGAGGAGAAGTTCTCGACAACTGAGAGAGATTTTGAGGAGGAAAAGTTCCCGACAGCTCGAAAGAGACAGCTGCATGAGCATAACCTTCTTGCGGTCCGCGCAGAGTTCTTGGATTTTTATGCTGGGACCGCCTGGCGGCGCTTTTTGGCGCCGCCCCTGCCCGGCGCGGATCCAAGCATTCCGCGCGAGCCTCCAAACGTTTCCGTTTCTATTGCTTTTGTTCCTCCCTCCAATACCGCTGCCCTTCCCTCGTTCTCGCATGTTAAAGCCTCCTGGGAGGCCCTCGTCTCTACGGCTGGATTTACTTCGAGCCCTGGTCAGAACGCACCCCGGAAGAGCTCCGGGCAGTACTGGTATCGATTTCTTCCGTCCACCCCAAGAGCCGCCATGCAAGACAGACGTGCGTTGGCAGAGGTGTCAGACGATCCTTCACAGCACGCTGCCAGCGGCATTGTCTGTGCAACAGTGAGACACCAGGGTCAAGCGACAGCAGCGACGACGACGACGACGAAGACGAAGACGACGATGAGGGGGAGGGGGAGCTGAAGGTCGAGGACGACAGCGACACCGGCGACGACAACGACGGCAGAGGGGGGGCAGTGACAGAAATCTGCGGCGTGCAGCTGATTTCGGCCTCGCCGCTTGGTACGCTACTCGATCCAAGGTCGCGCCTGGCGCCTCGGGGTGCCATGAGCTCCAGCTGCATGCGAGGTGCTGATTCGCCAGCGCCCCCCCGTCCACAGGTACCTTAGCTCCCGCTCGTTCGCCCACCAGCCTTTTGAGCATGGCAGGGTGGTGCCGGCGGCGGCGGCGGTGGCCGCGAGGACGGCGGCGGGGATGTGCGCAGAGGCGCAGAGAGATTCGGAGGTTCTTTGGGCGCTTTTTTGGCTCCCTCCGTTTGGCTTCTGGGGGCGTGCGGGGGCTTCCAGCTGCTCACGCTCTTCATTGCATGTTCAGCACCCATTATTTTTATTGCCAACCATCTCGTGTACTGAGTCCTGTCCTTGATTTCCCAAGCATCGTGTGGTGTTGGGTCCTCGTCTTACGTCTGCAGCGCCCAGCTTCTCCTTCCTTTTTCCTCCTCCCCCTCCTCCTCTGTCATCCGCATGTTCATTCCGGCACACTCCTCACACACTTCGTGGCCCCATAGGGAGCTCCACCCCAAACGTGCATACGTACTGGCCCATCGTTGAGACAATGCATCAGCTGCGCCCTGCGTGCAGCGACCTTCTTCATTCCCCTCCGTCCTTCTCCCTCCCATTTTTCTTTTTGCCTTCCACACGCGCATTTCCACACCCCTCACACGCTTCGAAGCCCTACAGGGAGCTCCGCCGAAGCCCTCGGGGGGATGGTCGCATAGCGTCCCCAGTCCATTTCGGCACACCCCTCACACGTGTCGTGGCCCCATGTTTGAGGTTGGCACGTCCCTCTACAGGAGGATCATTCAAAAATAGTCCACAAAGTAGCCTGGCGACGATTTTTCGAGTATCTTTTGACAATTTTTGACCATTTGTAGGAATATTTTTGGATTTTCATCCAAAATCCGTCTGTAGGGGGACACGCCCGACCTAACCCCACATGGAGCTCCACCCGAACACTCCGGAGTGGGCGGGGCGCATAGTGTCCCCCGGCTTACTTCGGAACACCCCCCGCGCGTGTCGTGAATCCTATATAAGGAGCTCCGCCTTGGACCCCTAGGGGGAGGGGGTCGCATACGGCAGGCTCGTGCGGCGCTGGCGCACCGGCGACGCCGGCGAAGGCGTTCAAGGTGGAAGCCTGTGACGCGGACGCGCTGGGGGACGCGCTAATGCCACTGGACCCGGCTGAATTCCACCTCGAGCGATCGGGGCCGCGATCGATCCAAGGTGGAACGATCGACGTGGTGCCAAAAACTTCAGCGCGCGCCAACGCCGCACGAGCCTCCACCGGGGTGCCCCCAGCCCGTGTCGGCATACCGCTCACACGTTCCGTGACTCCATGAGCAGCTCCGCTTGGACCCCTAGGGGAGGGGGCGGCAGAGCGTCCCCTGCCCATATCGGCATACCGCTCACACGCTTCGTGGCCCCATCGGGGTTTACACCGAACCCCTCTGGGGAGGGGCTCGCATAGCGTCAGCGTCCCAGAGCCCCTGTTCGTCACACACACACACACACCTCACACGTCTCGTGGCCCCGTAGAGGAGCTCCACCGAAGCCCCCAAGGGAGGGGGGGTAAGCGCATAGCGTCCCCCTCGGCACCCTCACTCGGTTCGTGGCCTCATCGTGAGCCGCACCGAAGCCTCCCGTGGGGAGGGGGGCGCATCGGGTCCCCCAGCCCATTTCGGCACACGTCGTGGCCCCATAGGGAGCTTCCCCTCCTTCATCCCACCTGCCTGGCGGCACTGACAATTGCACGTGGTCGGGTCTTCTGCCCAGATAATTCTAGACGCTTCGCATAACCCCACCAGCAATTAGGTCGCTCGTAGCCCGAGCCAACTCTGCTGACGCTGTGGGTGCCTTCGCCTGCGGCCGCGACGGAACAGTAACCCCACCAGCCCATGCAGGAACGATGCCCACGCGAGTTGTCATGAGAAGGGTCGTGGAGGAGCATGCGGTGGAATCAAGGGCTGTGGAAGCTGTCATACCCTGAGAGAGGGAGGATGGAGGAGGAATCGGAGGAAGGGGAGGAGGAGGAGGGAGAGGGGGGGGCCTCTTGGGGCCTCTTGGGGGTCTCATGAGAGCTTCTTGGGGCCTCTTGCGGGCCTCTTGGGGCCTCCTGGGCACCTTTTGGGGCCTTCTCAGGGCACTCTTGGGAGCCTTGGGGGCCATCTTGGGGTTGGAGGGGCTGTGAGCAGCGCCAAAATAGGCCCAACACTTAAGTAACATAAATGATGCTTGTTTTCTAGCCGATGCCTTCGTGGACGATCCCATCTGTCACGAACCCCCCTTCCATGTCCAGGGGAGGGGTAGGGGGAGGGGTCAAGCTACCCACCTGCCCGCACGCCGTCTTGCTCATTCCCACCCGCCCTCCCAACACGTCAGTCATGCCCAGATGTCAGCATATCGCGTAGGAACGCCGCAGACGCCACGGGTTTGGAAGCCTCTGGGGCCCGGCTTTGAGCTTTCTTGGCCAATTTTGGAGCCATTGGGATGTTTCGAGAGCCCATCGGAAACGACAAGGCGAAATTCAGCAGCCATCGATGTGTCAAACCAGACGGTCGACCACCTGCGCCCAGAAAGCGGGTGGGATCTGCTGGCGCTCCAGCCGTCTTTGCAAATTGTCAATGCACAATGATCGCGGGGCGGCCGCGCATGCTCCAACTGTGGAGGCAGAGTGCGTTTTGCATTGTTTTTTGATCGGGATGGTGGGGGGGGACCCCATGGGGTTATCATGAACTGTCGGGAACTTTTGAGAAGAATGTGCCCCGGGCAGAGGCGAGAGCCACATTTTCAAACCCACCCGCCCCGAATCAGTGAACTCTGTGTGAACTTCTGCAGCGAATGCGCGCTGCGTGAAACATGTTGAAAACGAATCGCCTTCCATCCGCGAAAATGCGCGCGCATGTAGGCGAACTTCAAATTTTGAGTATGAGCCGCCCTCCATGCGTGCACCTCTTGCAACTTTCAAGAAGACTGTGCGCGGCGTTTTATCGAGAACGCACAACATTGTGGAAGCGACCCGCCCTCCATCCGCGAAGTGCTTGCACATTTTTGCAACGAGTGTGCGCAGCGCGACCCGCCCGCAACTCTGTGAAGGTCTTACAAACTTTTGGCACGAATGTGCGCTTCGAGATGTCGAGGGCCACATTTTGAAAACTACCTGCGATCCATCTATGAAGCTTTTGCAACAAATGTCAAACGAATGTGATAGGCGCCAAGGCGAGAGCCATTTTTTGAAAACCGCCCGCTCATCCGGGAAACCCATGCAGATTTTCAAGATGAAAACGCGCGGCGCAAAAACGACATCCACATCTTGAAAACGACCCGCCCTCCGTCCGTGTCCGTGAAGCTCCTTGTAAATTTTTAAGACGACTGCGCGCGGCGTTGAAGCGAGCAGCACATTCTGGAAACCAGTCGGCCTCCATCCGTGAAGGTCCCCGAAGTTCTTCAGCGTCAGGATGATACATGTTCGGGATGTCTCGGACGAAACGCTTGGCCAGCCCTACCGACACGTCTGGGGGTGGGACAGGGAGGAGTTAGGCCCCACATCCAAAGCGACGTGTACGTTTTATTCGGACACCACCGCGCACGAAACAAAACCTCCGACCCGCCCCCTCTCTTTTTTCATCCACCCAATCACAAACTCATCACCTCATCATCACTCACTCGCCCGTTCACTTGCTCATCATCATCCGCATCATCATCACCAGTTCCCCCGGTGAGGGAGTCTCGGTGGGGGCTTTGTCTTCCAATGAATTGCGAGGTAGTCTCAGGTAGGAACCCCGTCCCTACGGGGCTGGCGGGCTCTTCCGTGCTTTATGTCGGTTGTTCGGCTATATATACATATATATATATACAGATACAGTGTCGAGCGGTAAGTCTCGAATCTTGAAACAGTTTCAGGCGGGGGCCTTGTCTGTGAGCGAAGTGCGAGGAAATCTCAGGCGGGACATCTCCCCAATAAGACCTTCATTTCATCTTTAAACTTATTTCAAGGGGCCATTCGACACGTATGACCGCTGTCCTTTTTGGGGCCCCGAGGTTTGAATCTTGGCGAAATCTCGGGCGGGTGCTTTGTCAGCGAATTATTTTCTAAAAAGTCTCAGGCGGGAGCCCCCTCACTATGGGGCCCGCGCTTCGTGCTCTTAGTCCAACGAGGTCGTTCGAAACTTCTAAGTAACGTGGCTTTTGGGCCCCCGAGGTTTGAATCTTCAGAACGTTTCAGGCGGGGTCCTTGTCGACGCGTGAATTGCTGCGAGGAAGTTTCAGGCGGGACCTCCCTCTCCCCAATGCGGCTGGCAATCTATGTCTTTTGTTTCATCCCAAGGGGGCACTCGAAACTTGACGATGTCGTCACTTTTGAGCCCCTGAGGGTTGAGTATGGAAGAAGTCTTGAGCGGAAGCTTCGCCTGTGAGCGATTCGTGCGTAAGTCTGCAGCGGGAGTCTCTTCTCTATGGGGCCCGCAACCTTAGGGGTGGGACGGACAGGAGGTGAGGATTACCCTACGAAAAATGGAAGAGATGTTCGTGCGGGGTCCTACATTCGGAATAGTTTGGACGGAAGGGGGCTGGAGGAGGAGGCGTAGGAGGAGGAGGAGGAGGAAGACGAGGAGGGGGAGGAGGACGAGGAGGAAGAGGAGGAGCAGGAGGAGCAGGAAGAAGAGGAGGAGGAGGTGGTGGAGGAGGAGGAGCAGGAGGAGGAGGAGGAGGAGCAGGAGGAAGACTCTGATCTCGCCTTCCCGCCGCCTCAGGCCCTCTTTGCCCCTGGTGTACTGCGGTGCCCCCAGCCGCGGCGTGGATCCTCCAGAGCCTCTGAGGTGGCGCGCCGCGCGCTAGACGTACGGGGCCCAAAGGTATACACCACCACCGCCTCCCTCGCGTCCTCGCTCTCCCAGGAAAGAGGAAAAGAACGTGAGGTTGGAGAGGGGGGGGAGGAGTCGACGTAGTGGTGGTGTATATCCTTGGGCCCCGCGCCAGAGGTGTACGGTCGCCCCCCGAGCGCAGCACCTGGCGGGAGCCACACTGCGCGTCCGTGCGGGGCGTACCGGCCAAGGCGCTCTGCCGGAGCAATCGATCGTAAGTTCGAGCGTGGAAGACATAGAAGAGGATACCCATGGCCGTTGAAAGTGTGTATTTTTGGATTACCCTATTCCAATATACTTGAAGCGCCTTCCTACTTCAATGGGCGAGTGGCTTCACCTTTTCCGTCCGCCCAGGAGGCGGACGGAACCCGTTCTGTTTTCACCGCCTTCGTACTTTATGCTTCCACCTACTTCTTCCGACTGGTTGGTCAAACACATCACGAACGGCATTCTCATAGGGACGAACAATGGCATAAACATAAAGACTCAGAGGTCCACGCGGGTTTCTCGGATCGGCGCTGGACCCCCTCCCCTAGCTCGCGGCTCGCGCCAGGGGTGGCGCCGGAGGCGCCGCTATAGAGAGGTCCAGCGATGATCCGGGACATGCGTGATGACCTCTCCGAGCTTTTATGTTTATGTAATTGTTTCGCCCACCCCAGTTCAAGAAATGGGGGACGCGAAAGACGGGCACGCCCCTCTACAAGAGGAATATTCAAACATAGTGTAGAAAAATAGTCAGGGAATGATTTATTGAGCATCAAGTGACTATGTTGGGGCATGATTTTTTCTGTTCAAAGCAATCGCCGAACATCCGCCTGTAGGAGGACACCCCCGACCTAAAACTAGCCATACTGTCATGACGTCGGCATATCGAAGACGCCTACGGCGAATCACCGCCGCCCCCTGCCTTTTTGGAAGCGCCTATGTGGCCGAACGTTGAGGCCAGACCTGCCATGCTATCGGACCATGTGTTCCCCGAATCGGTTTGGAAAGCCCTCGGGGAACACATGGGCATCTTGAAGGTCATCTTGGCCGTCTGGAGGCCATTTTGACCCTTTCGGGCCTTCTTGGAGGACGTCTTGGAGGGCTCTTGGGCCGTCTTGGAGGCCATTTTGAGCGTTTTGGAGACCTCTTGGGCCGTCTTGGGGGCCTCTTGTGTCTTGGGCATCTTGGGCGATCTTGGGGCGCACTTGGGCCGTCTCGGGCCGTCGGAAGGCAGAACAACAGCAAATGCCACAGTCTTTCAAACACCCAAGGTCAATCAATGATTTTGACATTTTCGGGTCTTCCTGGAGGCCCTCTTGGAGGCCTCTTTGGGCCGTCTTGGGCCATCTTAGGGCCAAGTTCGGCCGTCTTGGTGGGCTCCTGGTCCGTCTGACGCCGTCGGAAGCAGTTTGGGGGGCCTCTATGGGCCGACTTGGGGCCCTCTTGGAATGTTCCAGGGCCGCCTTGGAGGCCATCTTGGGCGTCTTGACGGCCTCCCGTGCCGTCTTGGGGGCCTCTTGGGCCGTCGTGGGGCCCTCTTGAGCCGTTCTGGGGCCATCTCGGTGATCTTTGGGGGCTCTTGGGCCGTCTCGGGCCGTCGGAAGGCCAAACAGAAGCACATGCCAAAATCCGTCAAAAACCTTAGGATCATCAATGAATTTGGCCTCTTCTGGCCTTCCTGGAGGCCCTCTTGGAGGCCTCTTGGGCCGTCTTGGGCCAGCTTCGAGCCAACTTCGGCCATCTTGGTGGGTTCCTGGCACGTGTGACGCCGTCGGGAGTCGTCTTGGGGGCCTTTCTGGGCCGACTTGGGGCCCTCTTGGGGCGCTTCGGGGCCGTCTTGGAGGCCATCTTGGGCGTCTTGGAAGCCGTGTTGGAGGCCTCTTGGGCCGCCTTGGCCTTGGGGCCTTCTTGGCCTCTTAGGCCGTCTGGAGCTGTCGGAATGCCGAGAAGAAGCAAATTCCAAAATCCTTCAAAAACAAACGGAAAATCTCTGAGTTTGGCCTCTTCGGGCCCTCCTGGAGGACCTCTTGGAGGCCTCTTGGGCCGTCTTGGAGGCCTCTGGGGGGCCTCTTGGGCCGTCTTGGACTCTTGGGCCGTCTTGGAGGCCGTCTTGGATCATCTTGGGCGGACTTGGAGGCCATGATGGACCATCGTGGAGGCCATCTTGGGCCAACGTGGCCATCTTGGAGGCCATCTTGAACCATCTTGGAGGATTTGCTTTCGGATTGAGCTCCTTGAGATCCTTTCAAAGTGGCCGGCGGGACGGGCCGAAGCCCCAGGGGGCGTCCTTTTGGAAAAGAAGCCGAAACCAAAAGCCATATCGCTCGGCACGCCCCCACCAGCGTTGCCCCGCTCCCGGAGTCCGTGGGGCGGCCCGGCGCCCGCGCGGTGGCCTCCGCGGCCCGCGGCTTGCCGGGACTGGGCGGCGCGCGGCGGCGCGATCGCGGTGCGGCGGGGTGCGGCGCAGAAAGGGCGCGGCGAGGAGGCTCAGATTCGGGGCGTGCGAGGAGGAGGAGGCGGAGGATGAGGAGGCGGAGGAGGAGGAGGAGGAGGAGGAAAGCAGAGCAGATCCTCGTGGAGCGCCCTGTCGAGCTACCGACCGAGAGGCCGGAGAGAACTTGGCTGAACTCTCAGAGGGTTCCTTCGAGACCAGACGACTGACGGTGCGAGCCCCTCGAAGGCTCACAGCATCAACTGCACTGGCCGACGGGCGCCCCCAATAGGCACGCAGCCCTCAGCGGGGGCCCGTACATCAGGCGCGACGACCTCTTTCCTTCCCCCGCCCACCAGAGCTCACCCCCCGCCTCCCCCTCCCAGGGTGTCGGCCGGGGGAGGGGGAGGGCGAGTAGGAGGGAGGAGGAGGGGGAGGATGAAGAGGATGAGGAGGAGGAGGAGGAGGGGGTGCGGAAATCTAGGCCTGCCAGATGGTCGGAGGATCGCGCCGCATCGCCGATGCGTCGCCGATGCGGCTCGACGCGGGGCCTGATCTGCTTCACGTCGACGTCGCCGATGCATCGCCCACGCCGACTATGCATCGCTGATGCACGGCCGATGCATCTCCGAGACATCGCCGATGCATCGCCGATGTATCGGCGATGCGGTACGATCCTCCGATCCCATCCACTCCGACCCCATGTAGGAGGCTGCTAGATTCGGTGTGAGCGGGATGGGTGCGGAAAGAAGGGTACGATGCCCGACAGTAGTTCCTGCTCATTTTAAGCAGGTCTCGCTGTCAGCGCCGCCGCGGACGTTGTCCATTTGAGACACGGGGCCGCCTGCCCAACAGCGGCCGCTGCCGATTTCGGACAGCATGTGTTATTGTGCATTGTGCGCATGTTGTCCGTACCCATCTCTGATCCCGGGAAGGAATGTTTCGTCGAACTCACGGAACGTAAACGTCATGTTCGCAGACCTACGAACATCATAAACATGTATGGTATAGTCGATGAGCAAACCAATTTTGGGGAAACCAGTTCTGTAGTCGATCTCCTACTCGAGGGATGGGCCTCACGCGATCTCGATGTCGATCGGTCAGGATTCCTTCGGCTTTTGCGGGCGCATCCCTGCAGGATGGTCATCGCCTCTGAATTGTTTGTCCGCCTGGAGGATAGGGATTACCCATCTGTCATCGATATATATATAGTGTCCCATATTCCAATCTACTTCAAGCGCCTTCCTACTCCAACGACCGAGCGGCTGCACCGTGTCCGTCCGCTTTGGGTGGCGGGCGGACACCCGATCTACTCTCAACGCCTTCCCACTTCATTAAGGCGATCGCAGACAGGGATCAAGGGGGCGCGGATTAGCGACGGGTCCCGCTTCCGTGGGAAGTCGCGGATTTCCGCCGCCGAACGAGTCGGCACCGGCCTCATTTTGTGGCCCCCGATCCATGGATTAGGCGACCGCGCGCCGAATTTATGGATCGCTACTTCCTGTTTGCGCGCCCCCGATTCATGTTTCTACCTACTTCTTCCGACTGTCGTGTGTAGGATTTCCCGTTGTGCGCCACGGTCGCCCACCGCGCTCTGCCCCGGCGCGGCTGGCTGCTGCCGCCGCCGGCTGCTCATCGTCGAATCCCTCGGCGTCTGAGCGTCCCTCCTTCCTCGTCGGGCTCCCCCCTCCCTCCTTGCTCGCCGGCGAGTCTGGTCAGAGCCCCTACCTGGCTGTTACGCCGGTGCGGAGTTCGCCGCCTCGCGGCTTACGGAAAAGTGTACGAGGGAGGAGGGAGGAGGGAGGAGGGAGGAGGGAGGAGGAGGAGGAGGAGGAGGAGGAGGAGGAGGAGGAGGAGGAGGAGCTGCGGACTCCGCTCGAGGCTGGTTCGCCTGGCTGCTCGTCCTTGCTCTTGGCGCCCCGGGGGGCCTGCTCTCGGGCCCCCTGGTGGCCATGAGAGATGGGCCCGGGGTTGGGGCCGGGCTCGTCCTTCGACAGGAGGAACATGCAGATGCAGTCAAGACATAGTCTAGGGACGACGTTTTGATGAGGTTTTTCTGCAAAAGAGTATGTCCTCCAAAGGTGTCAGAGTGTAACTATTTGAGTATGTCGTGTGTTTGACTGACGTTGTGTGTTCTTTTTTGTTTTTTTGAAAGCTCTGTCCTCCCAACCCCGCCTGAAGGAGGACACGCCCGACCTGAGCCCAGGGCGAGGAGCTGGCCCAGGGGAGGGGGTCGGGCCGCGCACGGAGAAGACATCGGGATCGCCGGATGGCAGGAGGCCCTCCCCGCCGCCGTGCTCCTCCTCTGGCCTCCCCCGCCTCCTCCTCCTCCTCCTCCTCCTCCTGTTCTCTTCCTCTTCCATATCCCCCATATCCTCCATATCCTCCATATCCTTCTCCTCCTCCTCCTCCTCCTCCTCCTCCTCCTCCTCCTCCTCCTTCTCCTCCATATCCTCCATATCCTCCTCATCCGTCTCCTCCTCCTCCGTCTCCTCCTCCTCCATATTCTGCTCCTCCTCCTCTACATCCTCCTCATCCTTCTCCTCCCTGCCTCCATCCCTCCATCGCTCTTGCCTTTTGCCTCCCTCCCCCTCCCTTCGTCGCTGTGACGGCGACGCGAGGGGGCCCCTCCCAAGAAGGGGGCGTCCAAGAGGTCGGGTCTGGTCTCAGAAGCGGAGCGCCCCAGGGCCTCTCAGAGGGCTTCTTAGAGACCTGGGAGGCTTCCAAGAACAAACAACCTCAAACCGAACAAACAGCAAACACCCTGCCTATGAAGCTCGAGGGGGCCAGGCTTCTAAGAATGCGGGGGGGGGGGGCGGCGCGTCCAAGAAGGCGGGGTTGTACTCACAAGCGGAGCGCCCCGGAGCCTCTGAGAGGGCCTCTGAGAAACCTGGGAGGCTTAAAGAAAGCAAGAGCCCTGTCTATGAAGTACGATTGGGCCAGCGATTTAAGAAGGCGGGGAGGCGGGGGCGTCCAACAAGGCGAGGTTGTTCTCAGAAGTGGAGCGCCCTGGGCCTCTGAGAGGGCTTTCGACGGACTTGGGAGGCTCCTGACAAAAGCCGCCTGCATGCGAAGCCCCCTTCTCAAAAGGCCCCCCCCCTCGCGCCACTGCCCGCCCAATGCGTCCCCAGGGGCTGTTTTCTGAACAAGGTGTACAGGCTTCGCGCGGGGTTGGCCTCGTCCCCCCCACCGGACCGATGTTCTCGGGTCCCAACCAGTTCAGACCCCTTCGGCTGCCTTTGGTTTCTGTGGCAGAAGCGGCCAGGGCTGACTCTCGCGCCCCCCCCCCTTGAAACATAGATTCCCCACAAAGCAGCGAGGGCGACCCGGGAGGGCGGCTGAGCTCGCGACAGCGCCGCGGTGCGCCGCTGCACACCGAGCGTCCCCTGGCCCCCCCGGCAGGAGGCGGCATGTCGGACTCCGACGAGTTCGAGTACGAGTCCGATGACGACCCCTACGGCGGCGGCGAGGACGGGGCGTGCTCCGCCAGGGCTGCTCCGGGCGTCGGTCGGAGCAGTTTCTCATGCAGATCTTTTCAGGCTTCCCTCCCCTCTCCCTCGCTCCTCCCCCTCCCCCCTCGCTCCTCCCCCTCCTGCTCCTCCAGCCTCCCTGTTCCTGCCCTCCTTGTCACCTCCTGCCCTGGTCAGTCCCTTTCTCCTTCCTCCTCGTCCTCCTCCTCGTGTTCCCCGTCCTCCCCCCTTTGCCCTCCCCCTCCCTGGCCCGCCCTCCTCGTCCCTGTTCCCGCCCCCCCTCCTCTCCCTCCCCTTCTCCCCCCTTCCAGCTCACTCCTCGTTCTCCCCTCCCTCCCTCCCCTTTTCCTCTTCCTCCCCTCCCTTCCTCCCCTTCTTCTCCCCTTCCCCCCCTCCTTTCCCTCTTCTTTGCCTCTCCCTCCAGCACAGTATGCGCTCGCCGACCCTCGCACCCTCCATCCAGCCCCGACGGCGACGGCGGAGGTGGCGGGAGAAGAGAACCCCAGACATCCGAAGAGGGCAGCCAGAGACTCGTTTTGTTCCACGCGCGGCCTCCAGGAGTCTCGGCTTATGATGATCCAACCTGCTTTAGCCTTGATTACCAGAGCGAATCCCGAGCAGAAGTGCCCGAACTCGAGGGTTTTCGCGTGTCGGGCCGTGGGAGACACTCGTCCGACACTGTGTCGACATTGTTCCGACACTCTTTCGACATTTTTCCTGGTATTCGAAATTATTTTTGGGATGCGGCTCTTAAGTGCGATGAGAGCAGCATAAGTCTCGACCCCTTCCTTGGTGCCTGCTGTTCGCTGCGGGATTGTTTTCTTCCTGTCGTGGCCCCGGGGCCTGAAGGCCAGCCTCAGAGAGAGGACGACGTCGACGAAGCACGCCAGGGCTGCACATCACAGAACAAGGACGTCCTTGCTGGCGACTCGAGGACTTCGAGGACTCGGCACGGTCGTCGTAGGTCGAGGGTCGTCGTGGAGCTGGAACGTCGCGCTGGCTACCCGAGGACTTCGAGGAATCGGCACGGTCGTCGTAGGTCGAGAGTCGTCGTGGAGCTGGGACGTCGCGCTAGCGACCCGAGGTCTTCGAGGAGTCGGTGCGGTCGTCGTAGGTCGAGGGCCGTCGTGGAGTTGGGATGTCGCGCTGGCGACCCGAGGACTTCGAGGAATCGGTGCGGTCGTCGTAGATCGAGAGTCGTCGTGGAGCTGGGGCGTCGCGCTCTCGACTCGAGGACTTCGAGGAATCGGTGCGGTCGTCGTGGGCCGAGAGTCGTCGTGGAGCTTGGGCGTCCCGCTGGCGACCCGAGGACTTGGAGGAATCGGTACGGTCGTCGTAGGTCGAGGGCCGTCGTGGAGTTGGGATGTCGCGCTGGCGACACGAGGACTTCGAGGAATCGGTGCGGTCGTCGTAGATCGAGAGTCGTCGTGGAGCTGGGGCGTCGCGCTCTCGACTCGAGGACTTCGAGGAATGGGCACGGTCGTCGTACGTCGAGAGTCGTCGTGGAGCTGGGGCGTCGCGCTGGCGACCCGAGGACTTCGAGGAATCGGTACGGTCGTCGTAGGTCGAGAGTCGTCGTGGAGCTGGGGCGTCGTGCTGGCGACTCGAGGACTTCGAGGAATCGGCACGGTCGTCGAAGGTCGAGAGTCGTCGTGGAGCTGGGGCGTCGCGCTGGCGACTCGAGGACTTCGAGGAATCGGTGCGTTCGTCGTAGGTCGAGAGTCGTCGTGGAGCTGAGGCGTCGCGCTGGCTCGAGGACTTCGAGGAATCGGTGCGTTCGTCGTAGGTCGAGAGTCGTCGTGGAGCTGGGGCGTCGCGCTGGCGACTCGAGGACTTCGAGGAATCGGTGCGGTCGTCGTAGGTCGAGAGTCGTCGTGGAGCTGGGGCGTCGCGCTGTCGACCCGAGGGTTTCGAGCAAGCGGCACGGTCGTCGTAGGTCGAGAGTCGTCGTGGAGCTGGGACGTCGCGCTGGCGACACGAGGACTTCGAGAAATCGGCACGGTCGTCGTAGGTCGAGAGTCGTCGTGGAGCTGGGACGTCGCGCTGGCGACTCGAGGACTTCGAGGACTCGGCGCGGTCATCGTAGGTCGAGAGTCGTCGTGGAGCTGGGAGGTCGCGCTGGCGACTCGAGGACTTCGAGGACTCTGTACGGTCGTCGTGGGTCGAGAGTCGTCGTGGAGCTGGGATGTCCCGCTGGCGACTCGATGGCTTCGAGGAATGGGCACGGTCGTCGTACGTCGAGAGTCGTCGTGGAGCTTGGGCGTCGCGCTGGCGACTCGAGGACTTCGAGGAATCGGTGCGGTCGTCGTACATCGAGAGTCGTCGTGGAGCTGGGACGTCGCGCTGGCGACCCGAGGACTTCGAGGAGTCGGTGCGGTCGCCGTAGGTCGAGGGTCGTCGTGGGGCTTGGACGTCCCGCTGGCGACTCGAGGACTTCGAGGAATCGGCGCGGTCGTCGTAGGTCGAGAGTCGTCGTGGAGCTGGGACGTCGCGCTGGCGACTCGGGGATTCCGTGGACTCGGTACGGTCGTCGTAGGTCGAGAGTCGTCGTGGAGCTGGGACGTCGCGCTGGCGTCTCGAGGAATTCGAGTAAGCGGTACGGTCGTCGTAGATCGAGAGTCGTCGTGGAGCTGGGACGTCGCGCTGGCGACTCGAGGACTTCGAGGGATCGGTGCGGTCGTCGTAGGTCGAGAGTCGTCGTGGAGCTGGAGCGTCGCGCTGGCGACTCGAGGACTTCGAGGAATCGGCACGGTCGTCGTAGGTCGAGAGTTGTCGTGGAGCTGGGACGTCGCGCTGGCGACCCGAGGACTTCGAGTAAGCGGTGCGGTCGTCGTAGATCGAGAGTCGTCGTGGAGCTGGGACGTCGCGCTGGCGACTCGAGGACTTCGAGGAATCGGTGCGGTCGTCGTGGGCCGAGAGTCGTCGTGGAGCTTGGGCGTCCCGCTGGCGGCCCGGGGACTTCGAGGAATCGGCGCGGTCGTCGTAGGTCGAGAGTCGTCGTGGAGCTGGGACGTCGCGCTGGCGACCCGAGGGTTTCGAGTAAGCGGTACGGTCGTCGTAGATCGAGAGTCGTCGTGGAGCTGGGACGTCGCGCTGGCGTCTCGAGGGGTTCAAGGAATCGGTGCGGTCGTCGTAGGTCGAGAGTCGTCGTGGAGCTTGGACGTCCCGCTGGCGACCCGAGGACTTCGAGGAATCGGTACGGTCGTCGTAGGTCGAGGGTCGCCGTGGAGCTGATACGTCCCGCTGGCGACTCGAGGACTTCGAGGAATCGGTGCGGTCGTCGTAGGTCGAGAGTCGTCGTGGAGCTGGGACGTCGCGCTGGCGACTCGAGGTCTTCGAGGAGTCGGCACGGTCGTCGTAGGTCGAGAGTCGTCGTGGAGCTGGGACGTCGCGCTGGCGACTCGAGGACTTCGAGGAATCGGTACGGTCGTCGTAGGTCGAGAGTCGTCGTGGAGCTGGGACGTCCCGCTGGCGACTCGAGGACTTCGAGGAATCGGTACGGTCGTCGTAGGCCGAGAGTCGTCGTGGAGCTTGGGCGTCCCGCTGGCGATTCGAGGACTTCGAGGAATCGGTACGGTCGCCGTAGGTCGAGAGTCGTCGTGGAGCTTGGACGTCGCGCTGGCGACTCGAGGACTCCGAGGAATCGGTACGGTCGTCGTAGGCCGAGAGTCGTCGTGGAGCTTGGACGTCCCGCTGGCGACCCGAGGACTTCGATGAATCGGTACGGTCGTCGTAGGTTGAGAGTCGTCGTGGAGCTGGGACGTCGCGCTGGCGACTCGAGGACTTCGAGGAATCGGTACGGTCGTCGTAGGTCGAGAGTCGCCGTGGAGCTGAGACGTCCCGCTGGCGACTCGAGGACTTCGAGGAATCGGTACGGTCGTCGTAGGTCGAGAGTCGTCGTGGAGCTGGGACGTCGCGCTGGCGACCCGAGGACTTCGAGGAATCGGTACGGTCGCCGTAGGTCGAGAGTCGTCGTGGAGCTGGGACGCCCCGCTAGCGACTCGAGGGCTTCGAGGAATCGGTACGGTCGTCGTAGGTCGAGAGTCGTCGTGGAGCTGGGACGTCGCGCTGGCGACCCGAGGACTTCGAGGAATCGGCACGGTCGTCGTAGGTCGAGAGTCGTTGTGGAGCTGGGACGTCGCGCTGGCGACCCGAGGACTTCGAGGAATCGGTACGGCCGTCGTGGGTCGAGAGTCGTCGTGGAGCTTGGGCGTCCCGCTGGCGACTCGAGGACTTCGAGGAATCGGTACGGTCGTCGTAGGTCGAGAGTCGTCGTGGAGCTGGGACGTCGCACTGGTGATTCGAGGTCTTCGAGCAATCGGTACGGTCGTCGTAGGTCGAGAGTCTTCGTGGAGCTGGGACGTCCCGCTGGCGACCCGAGGGCTTCGAGGAATCGGCACGGTCGTCGTAGGTCGAGAGTCGTCGTGGAGCTGGGACGTCCCGCTGGCGACTCGAGGACTTCGAGGGATCGGTACGGTCGTCGTAGGTCGAGAGTCGTCGTGGAGCTGATACGTCCCGTTGGCGATCGAGGACTTCGGGGAATCGGTACGGTCGTCGTAGGCCGAGAGTCGTCGTGGAGCTGGGACGTCCAGCTGGCGACCCGAGGACTTCGAGGAATCGGTACGGTCGTCGTAGGTCGAGAGTCGTCGTGGAGCTTGGACGTCCCGCTTCCGACCCGAGGACGTCGAAGTCGGTACGGTCGTCGTAGGTCGAGAGTCGTCGTGGAGCTGGGACGTCCCGCTGGCGACCCGAGGACTTCGAGGAATCGGTACGGTCGTCGTAGGTCGAGAGTCGTCGTGGAGCTGGGACGTCGCGCTGGCGACCCGAGGACTTCGAGGATTCGGTACGGTCGTCGTAGGTCGAGAGTCGTCGTGGAGCTGGGACGTCCCGCTGGCGACCCGAGGACTTCGAGGAATCGGTACGGTCGTCGTAGGTCGAGAGTCGCCGTGGAGCTGGGACGTCGCGCTGGCGACCCGAGGACTTCGAGGAATCGGTACGGTCGTCGTAGGTCGAGAGTCGTCGTGGAGCTGGGACGTCGAGAGCATCGTGGAGCAAGCGTCGGTACGCATCGCCGCCGAGGACCCGCGGCGAGCGAAGGGGGGTTGTGAGAAGGAGAAGGCCTCCTCAGAAGGCTTGGAAGTCCCCCAGCCTTCTGAGAAGCCTTCTGGCCCCCCCGCAGACACAGGGAACCTTTTCTGAAGGCGCGAGGGCTTCCGAGAAGTCCCACCGTCTTCCGAGAAGGCCTTCTCTTCGCCACTTCCCCCCCTCGTTTGCCGCCGAGAAAGGCGCGGTCAGTTCGCATAGTAAGGGTGAGCAACTTCCCAAGATTGCCCTTGCATCCTTGCCCCTTCGGCCCATCCTGAGCGACTTTCACTGACCTACCTCGTTCGAAACATGTTAACATGGCCGGCCAAGACCGAGGCCCTTGTATCCTTACCGCTCATCGCCATTTAGGGAAACCATGAGGCTCGAGTAAGCTGGAACTCGGGTGAGCCGACGTTTTTTGACGAGCGCGCGTTGGATTTGGACGGTCCCGTTTTCGGGGTATTCTGCAGTGGGAACTTGCGCCACATTTCAGACAGAGTCTCGTCATTTTTTCATGATGTCCCCGTCAGGCCAGCCCGAGTCCCCCGTACCCGAGTGTTACGCCATCTCGATTTGTCATACAGGATGACTGTAGCGACGTCGAGGAGTTGTCGTAGATCGCTGCTGTCGGTGGCGTTGTCAACGGTCGCGTGTGGACCCCCTCCCACGGAACGGTTTTTCGTCCTGAGTCGTTTTGGACGGTCCCGAGGCCCAGGAAGGGCCCCCAGAAACCGAACATAGCGAAGACCCTCCTGTCGTGATTTTGTCACAAGCGCGAGGGGGTCTGGGATTGCACGGGCCGCCTGCAGCGTCGTCGAGGAGCCGTCGTCGATCGCTGCCGCGACGGCGGCGGCGTCGACGTCGACGGCGCCGGCGGTGGTGCTCGGCCTCCCACGGGCGGCGCCGCGCGGGCGAGCGGCGGCGCTCCTCGCCGCGGCGCCGCCGGGAGCTGCGCCCCGCCGCCCCCCCGCAGGACGAGGTGGGCGACGAGGAGGCCATCCAGGCACGGGGCCTTCCCAGGGCAGGTGACGATCTCGGCATCTCTCGCCGAAGAAGAAACAACGCATAATCATTCACGTTTATCAAGCAGTGGCCAAGCGCCTTGGCGTGCCTATAGGCCTACCGGACAAAGTTCTGCGAACTTTTTGTGGTTTCCACGAAGTGTTCTCAGAACATTTCTGGCTGGGATTGTCGTGCTTCGACACATCGGATTAATGTTCTAAGACATTCGTTTATGATCTTAGAACATGTCTGGGTTCTGAGAAAATGTTGTGGTAGGCCTATAGTAATTTCCAGACGGTCGGTACAGGCTCAAGTTTAACGCTCCGCGCGGATTTCTTGGATCCGCGCTTGGCCCACCCTGGCGGTGCCTCCAGCGCCGCCCCTGGCTCGCTGAGCCAAGAAACCCACGCGGAGCGCAAACAGAGTATGTTAGTGGTGTTTTTGCTTCTTCCACTCCCAGGGCGGGCGACGATCGAGGCATCCTCCCCTGACATCCTGGCGTCTCGAGCAGGATCAAGGGAGGAACAAACAACAAGGCCCGACACGGCTTGAGCGTTTACTAAACAGTCCTGCCCTGTTCGATTCCTTCAGTGGGTGCGTTTACCAAACGGCTTCGCGTGTCGGTGCGGTTATTCGAGAGGTTGTATTTTTTGACCTCTGCAAAAGTCGGGACGGCGGTGTTCCAGCGCTCTTTCGGCCCCTAGGGGCCCTGGCCGGGCCTCGGGACCGTCGCGTCGGAGCACGACTCCTCGCAAGGAAGAGCCGGCCCTGGGCAAGTGGTCGAAAGGCCGGGGGCCCATGTCCCGAAACAGTCGAGACGCCGGATTTCTGGGTCTCGGTCACGCTCGCAAGGAACCAGAACTGAGCCACGCGCAGAGGGGGGTGGGGGGAGGGGGAGGCTTCTTAGAAGCACCCCTGCTTCTCAGAAGGCGCGGGCTTTATCTATAGATGTAAGGCCAGCGCCTTTTAAGAAACATAATTCTTCTAAGAAGCTCTTCCCCCTCCTTCCACCCCCTTGCGCGCCGCCAAAGAACGGTTGTCTCAGGCCCGAGGGGGGCGTTTTGCAGAGGCCGGGTGGCGGTGGTGCTGGCGGGAGCCGGCGGAGGAGTAGCGGGAGGGTACCGATACCACCCACCATTTTTGTGGTGTCTTGAAGCAGAGAGTGCTCGCATTTTTCCAGCATGGTTTTCTGGTGCCTCGGACGTTTCGTGAAGGACGGGGGGTGAACGATCTGGGGGTAGGATCGGAATGGGTACGGAAAGAAAGGAGGGGAAGACCGACAGCAGATCCTGTGCATTTTGAACAGGAGTTGTTTACGCTTCGCGAATCCAAGCCAGACCATTCAGAAGCCCTGCTTATGCGAGGTGACGGAACAAGGGACGAAGAGACACATATAGTGAAACAGAGCGTGCAAGATGAGGAGAGGAAGGAGGGTGTTGAGCCATTTTGGAGGCTATGTTGGAGCATCGGAGGCCTTCTTGGAGCTACGGGGCTGTATTCGGGGACATTGGTGTCCTCTTGGAGCCTTTTTGGGGCATCTCGGGGCCCTCTTGGGGCTCTTTGGGGGGTCTTGGGGTGCCGTGGGGCACTCTTGGGTCCCTCTTGGGGCTCTCTTGGGGCTCTCCTGCATTTGATCACACATTCTCCACGCCTCGTGGATCTCCACCAGCCCATTCGAAAAGCCCTGCCCATGAGAGCTGACGGGAGAAGGGACGAAGAGCCACACATAGTGAAACAGAGCGGGCAACCATGGTGAACAGAGCGGTCTCGGGGAGCAAAGGGGTGCCTTTAGATGGCCTCTTCGGTGCATCCCTGGGGACCCACGCAGGGGCGAGGGAAGGAGAAGGAGGAGGAGGAGGACGAGGAAGAGGAGGAGGAGGAGGAGGAAGAGGAGGAGGAGGAGGAGGAGGAGGACAACGACGACCACGACCACGAGACAAAGGAAAAGGAAGCGGGTAAGACTATGAGGGCAAGGGCGACCACGAGACCGAGGATGAGGGGGAGGAGGCGGAGGAGGAGGAGGAGGAGGATGAGCGAAGGTGAGGAGGAGGCCTTCTCTCAGGATTTCCTCTGTTTTATTTCTGCAGTCGTCGACAGTTTTTGCGACGCGGGGTGGTTTCCATCAGCTGCTCCTCGTCGAGATGTGCGAATGGGTGCCTCTGGCGTGACAAGTTCGAGAGGCTTCAACTTCCTGGGCTTGAGAGTTTTCCAGCAGAGGGAGGTTTGTACCCTGGAGGGTCGCAGGTCTGATAGACTGGCGCCTGGAGGCGACCGAGCAGGGGACTCGCCCAAGGAACGAGCATCATCGTCTTCTTCGATGTCATCGGCCAGGGGACGGAGAGCGCTTCGGGGGTACGGGAGCAGTCCCGAGCGGTCGCTGGAGAGCCCGTGACCCGAGACTCAGGGGGTAGCGTTAGGGGGGGGTCTGGGGGGTTCAGGGGGCGGACGTATCGACCCCCCGGTCGCCCTCTCATCGCCGATGGTGGCCCCATGGCCCACCCTGCCCAGGAGCGTACGGATTCGCTATCGGGGGCCCATCGCCGATCGAGCGGCGATGGAGAGGGGGCGAGGGGGGGCAGGCCTTCTCGGACGGCGGCGGGACTTCTCAGAAGCCCTCGCCCCTCCTGAGAAGCGCCGTGCGCGTTTTCGGAGAAGGCGTAGGAGGCTTTCCGAGGGCCGCATGCCTTCGTAGCCTTCTGAGATGGCCCCCTCTTGGCGCGCCGCCGCGTACCTTCGGCAGGCAGCATACTGATGGGCTCCCTACTTTGGCGTGCCATTGATGGAGGGTGTTTTTGTTACCTTCTGGGCAATAACGCGCGCTATGCCACCCCCCCCCCTCCCCCCACAACGTAACGCTGCCCCCCTCTTAGTGCGTCCCCAGCACTGCCGCCGTGCGTCCGGCAGTACAGTCTGGGGAGCGGGGGGGCACTGCGTTATGCCCCCTTCCCGCCCCCCCCCCCCCCTCCCTCCCCACATCGCCCGTTCTGGCCGCGCTCTCGACGGTTTTGTTCCTATAGTCCTTCCAGCGCCTCGCCTCTCCCTGGTGGTCCTTCCCGGGCCACCCGCGGGGTCGCGCGGGGATGGCCTCCGGTCGTGACGGCCTGGGCTGCGGGGGGCGCCCAAAAGAGGGGAGCGGTGACGTGGGAGGGCCACGTGTGTGCGCGTGTGTGGACGAGTGTCGTGGCGGGGGCCATGCCGTCCCCAAGACTTCTATTGGAGATCACTGCTGCCACATCCACCTACCCCTTCCCCGTCGCCGTGTTCTCCGACAAGCCATCCCGACGCTAGGACGGAGGGAGGGTTTTGCCTTGTTTAACGTGCCCACAGCAGGGTACTCCCGCTCGTGGTGACATAGCTCATCACATCGACAACTTCCTTGTGGGCCTCCCAGATGGGGCCCGAGTAGAGGGGTCGGAGGGTCGCGCCGCATTCCCGATGCATCGCCAATACACCGCCGATGCATCGCCGATGCGTCGCAAATGCTTCGGCGACATGTGCGATGCGTCGGCGACGTCAGCGTTGAAGAAGTCGGGCTCCACATCGAGTCGCCTCGCCAGTGCATCGGCGTTGCGGTGCGCTCCTCCGACCCCATCTGTTCGGACCCCCTCTCGGAGGCACCTGGTCGGCGGCGGCCAAGGAGGGAAGCGAGAAGGAGACGGCTCCTCGGAAGGCGGCGGGGTTTCTCAGAAGCCTTTGCGCCTCTCGGGAAGCCTGTCTGTTTCATCGGGGAGGGCTTCGGCAGCTTTTCAGCGTGCCGGGGGGCGTCCGAGTTTTCCGAGAAGGCCCGCCTTTTTTTCACTTCCCCCCCTCGCTCGCCGCCGATCTATTCATGGCCGCCTCTTCTTCCTTCCACGGACTCCCTGGCCCCCAACTCGTCCGCGAGCACGCCTCGGACAACGGTGCGCTCACCCCACCCGCTGCCTGGCCCCCCCTCTTCGCCGCACCGGAGGGCTGGAGGTCGCTCGTCTGCCCGTTGCCAACGAATTTAACCGACCCCTATCCCCATCCTCATCCCCTTCGAAACCCCCACCAAATTACCACTCCAGTTGGGGATACACCCCTCGAAACCCGAAGGGAACGGCCTGTATCCCCATGTGCGGGGGGAAAACCGGCCAGTGGGGCCCAGGCCACGCCGATGGGGATGGGGGTCGGATAAACGATGCTCAGTTGAGGAAAAATGCAGGGCGACGTCGGCCCTTTCCCTTTTCCTGTCCACCGAGCAGTGCCGAAGCGTCCCAGTATGCTTGCACGTACACCAAATTGAGCGCATGTTTGCTGTTTGCGTGGAGCGATCTTAAGTCGCTTCTGGCTGATACTATTTTGTTTTAACGCATCGGGCGTATGCTCTAAGAGCGAACTTTTATGCGGTTCTCAGGACGGTTCGTGGTAGGCCTACAGGAGTGCCGGGACGGTCGGTCACTGCTCAATCCTTTTCTCCTTTCCAACGAGCACATGGGGCCACGAGCACTCTGAGGCTTTGGTCTCTACGAGCCCCACGAGCCTCGAGTTTCGGCCTTTGGGCTCAATGGGGGCCTGCGAAGGTCTTCGGCCTTAATTAGCGTGCCCTCGGGCTTTAGAAAGCCCCGCTCACGCAACCAGCGCCCGCAGGGAAAATGCCCCCAACTTCTCTAGTTGCGTCTTGGTGCCGCAACCAGCTTTTCGGCCTCGGCATTGTCGGGATAGCCGACGCCATCACCAAGACCCCCCTTGGCAAGGAGCCCCTGAGGGTGCGTGGTCCTGCGAGGACTTTGCAGGTGTGGCCTGGGTCGGAGGGCTGAGAGCCCGGAGCGCTTGGCATACACCTTAGGCGATGCTTAAGAAAACTTAAAGTTTCGGCCAGAGTCTCGATTATTCTTAATGTTTCAATGTGAATTTAAAGATTTGAATGGAATGTTTCTGTTTTTATTTAAGTTCTGAGACTATGAATTTCTTAACCCATGATTTCTTAAGCATTTCGTAGGGTGTAGGTCGCCCTGGGCTTGCCTCGACCCTTGCCTGAGTTTTTCGGGGAGGCTCCGCTCCGGACTCGGCGCTTGTCGCGGGCTGTGGGGCTCCCGCGGGTGAGCCTCGTCTTGCGGCGGGGCTTTCAAGCGACTGTTCCCCCTCTGCGATTCGGTGAATCAGGGACGGCTCGATCTGGCTCAAAACGCATTTTCAAGGGCAATGGATAACACGTCCACGTTCTGGGTGCCGGTCTCGCTTTTTTCTGTCTTCCCAGGAACTCGGCGTCGCCCCAACATACTCATTCTACGTGCGTCGCCCCCAGGGGCGACGTGCGCACCGAGAATTCTTATGCATCTGCGTCGTGGCGGGCGTTTTCTGGCCACACCGCTCGGGAATCGATGTATTACTCCTAGATGGGAATGTTTCATGTTCGGGCTGGACGCGTGCCTCCAAGGATAGCATACAACAGTACTAGCGTGTCTTTGTCTTCCAGGGAGAGGCGCTCTTCTCCAGACGCGCCGCGCGAGAGCGCGGACGATCACCAGGCGCGCTCAGCGCGGATGCGCGAAGGGTGCTCCGCGCAGCACGACGGTCGCGGAGCTGGGTGGCATGGTTTATTGGGCCTGGCCGTCGTCCCTGGCCGTCCTGGCCGTCGTCCTGTTGGGAGTTCCGTCCTGGCCGTCGTCCCTACCAGCCGCCGGTCTGATCATTTCGAAGAATCAGCGGCTCCAGGGGGGTCCCGACCGCTTCTTTGGGAGTTAGCTTTAAGTCGGGCGTGTCTCTCTACAGGAGGCATTTCCAACAACGGCATAAGCATAGTCTGGGAACGTTTTGTTTAAAAATATGTTTGTGAATCTGTTTGATTACTTTTTGATAAATTCCAGGTTTTCTTCCGAAATCCGGTTGTAGGAGGACGTGCTGCCCGACCTGAAGTAAGCCGGTCGTCCAGGACGTGTTGTTGATGGCCTGAGGCCAGGAAACGGGCCCCATCGACCTGAAATCCACGGAAAGCGCTCGGATGGATGATAGCACCACGTCGTCGGAAGTCTGGGCTCGCTTCTCCCCGGGCCCCCCATGCCTGGTTCGCCACCGCGTGGTGCCCGTAGATCGAGAACACGTTCTACGAGGCCGACGACAACAAGGCGAGCTACCCGGAGCAGGCCCCCAGGGCTGTCCTGTGCGAGGGAGGCCTGGCAAGGCGTGTGTAGGGGGCCACAGCGGAGGGGTCAGGACCTTGAGGGTTGCGACGGTCAGGGACGGATGTGTTGCCGCGGACCCTGTCCGTTCTAGAGACCACAAAGCGCTTGCCCAGCAGCGGCCACTGGTGGATGACGGGAAGCGCGTCTGGCGTGGACCGCTTATATCTCTTTAGATACAGTGGCCTTCGGCCCATCCCGCCACCGTGGAGAGGAGAGCGGAATGCCAACGGCAGGCGCGAATGGAAGGGGAGATGAACGTACTGATTCTGACGGGATGCGCGACGGGCTGGTCAGGTAATTACAGTGGGGGCGCGCATCAAGAAGCCATGTGCTTTTCGTCTGGGTATCCTGGGTGTCTTCGCTAATCGCGCTGCGCGGTGACTTCCCGCAGCCGCGGAAGGAGCTGCTGCGTTCGGGGTGCTCCCGGCTTCCCCTCGGGTGCACCTCGCGCGCGGGTTCTCGGGGTTGGGTCTCCTGCGAGGGTCTCTTGCGGCTGCGCCCGCACTGTCTGAGGCCTCTGCTTCTCCAGGGTCCTCTCGCCAAAGCACCCACAGGCTGCGGCCGTGCCCCCCCCCCCTCGGGACGTGGTGCGAATTATTAAACCGCCAGCGTCCGCACAAGGGCAGCTGTACAGTCGGCCCTGATCCTGATTCGAAGGTCGACCCTCCCAAATCAAGAGTGCCCTTGTGTCCTGTATCTCGCGACCCATGCCTCCTATATTCCTGTGGCACTGTGGCCCTTGGAAGGGTCTTGTGTCCTCTCGCGCGTCCTGTCCAATCAAGTCCGACTGTACGCATCATCCTGGCCAGGGCCATCCTGTGTCTCAAGACGGTGGCAGGGCTGCACCTGCACGTTGTTTGTCGTTCTTGTTGTCGTTTTGTTGTTCCTTCTGCTATGCCTGTTTTCCTGTACGTCCTTGCCAAAAACGAAGAATCACACACATCCGAAGTCCAGCAGAACAGCGTTTAGGTCCAGCCCTGGATGGTGGGTCCACTGTCCTGGTCGAGGCCAGGAGGAGGTTGTGTTCAGCATCCTGGGGCCCAGGACGGCCCTGGCCAGAGTGGGTGGTGGTGGCGTATAGCCGTTGCTCCCAGCATAGGTGCTGGCCATGCGAGCTGTGGGTCAGACGGACTCGCCTTTGGGAGCACTGCCTGCTACCATTGGGACCCCCTCGGAGTTTTTTGTTCGCGGACGCCTCACGCTTTAGTGAGACTCGATGACGGCTGTGATGGATCAAGTGCCCATGGTAGATCTGTGGCATAAGGTAACGGGTTTCGATTTCATCTTGTGATACGTTCGAGTGACGACGACGATGCTTGATAATATAGATGTGATGGCGACTGTTGCGGTGGCGACGGTGACGCCAACGGTAACGCTGGTGGTCGCGGCGACGATTGATGCTCTATGATGGCATGTGCTTGTATGTGTCATCGAGTGGTTCCGCAGAGTGTGGTGACAACGAGTGGCGTTACGTAGCGCAGTCGATGTCGCCACGTGCGCGTTTGACAACCCTGCGGCCGATAGGGCTCTCTGGGGTCCAGTGAGGAGCTTGTCGCAGTCGCGCAGGTACTCTCCGCGGAGGGTGTTCGTGTGTGTGTGTGTCTTCTTGCGTGATGCACAGCTTCCGCGCGGGACCCTGGGTCCTCTGTGTCGGCATCCCGCTCGGACTCCGATCCGATGGGTATTTTTCATTGTTCGCCCAACATCCGCCTGCAGGAGGACATGCCCGACCGAAGACTCGGCCCAGCTTCCCGAGCTTGCCGACGGATCCTCCAAGTGCTGCCCGCGTGTTCTCCCGCTTCCCTGGCGGCCTCGGTTGTAATGCCTGGGAGGCGGAAGGGCAGCATCGGCGCTGGTACATCGGCGGCCGAGTGGCCGTCTTTTTCCAGCCCAACCTCGCTGAGTCCCCCCGCTCGGTTCCGCTCAGTCCCGCTGAATCTGGCATGGTCTCAGTCTTGAAGCCTACTCCGAGTTTCTTCACAAGCGTCGGGGGGGGGCGTCACCCCCGCCGGCAGCCCCACATCGACCCCCGTCGCGGGCAGCCACCGCGCGCCGAAGGCGCTCCGACCTCCGCCGCCGCGCGACGACGAGGCGAGGTTGACCCCCGTCGGGGGGGTACCCCCCCTACGCTGATCAAGAAATACAGAGCAGGCTCAGTCTGGGCCGACCGGGCGGGTGGCCCATCGGTGGAGCTCAGTCCCCGTCAGTCGTTCCCACGACGAACTCCCAGGAGTTGCCTCCCGACCCGAGGCCGCGCGAGCGGGGGCGCGCAGACGACCACGCGTCGCGCGTCGCGGTCTGGGTCAGAGCGGATCTGGCGGATCGATCTTCGGGGACCTCGGCAGGCGGGGTGTGTGGATGCCTTTCGGGCCACCCAGGGGCCAACGCTGCAATCCATGTCCGCCGCATCGGTGTTTGTTTCCCGTCGAGGCTGGACGGGAAACCATATGGGCAGACGAAGGAGAGCTCATAGCATGCAAAGCCATAGTCGCTGCCTGCAAGTCCATATCCGTCGCCCACTGAGCGACGCAAGACAACGGGGTGGTGTGCGCCGACGTTGGCGCGTAAGTTGCCCGCGTAAACTGCCCGCGCAAGCGCCCTCGCTTTCCATGTGGCGTGCCGCGCTGGCGGCCCGTGTGAGTTACCGCGTGAGGTCGCTACGCCATCTCGCGCAAAACCCGTTTTTGATCGTCGCTCCACTGGGGTCCCAGGACGTCGCTTCCCCGCGCGGTGGAAGGCGCGAAGGTATTCAGCCTCGAGCTGATGGGCCTGTTTTCCACCGCCACCACCACAAGTCCGAGGGGGAGGGGGTCCTCCTCCTCCCCCTCCACCCCCTCCACCCCCTCTCCTCCTCCTCCTCCTCCTCCTCCTCCTCCTCCTCCTCTTCTTGTTCTGCTCCCCCACCTCCTCCACCACCTCCTCTTCCTCCTCGTCCTCCTCCTCGTCCTCTTCCTTCCCCCTCCAACTGATGGTGGTGGTGGTGGAAGACAGGCCCGGCCTCGCGCCGCGCACCGCGGGGCGCCGCCGCGCGCGACGCTGCGCGACGGGGGTTCCACGGCCCGCGGCGTGGTGCGCCCAGTGAGACGGGTTTGTTTTCCACCACCACCACCACTAAAAGTTGGACGGGGTGGGGGTCCTCCTCCTCCTACTCCTCCTCCTCCTCCTCCTCCTCCTCCTCCTCCTCCTGCTCCTCCATCTCCTCCTCCTCCTTCTCCTTCTCCTACTCGTCCTCCTCCTCGTCCTCCTCATTTTTCCCCCTTCCAACTTATGGTGGTGGTGGTGGAAAACAGGCCCATCACCGTGGGGGGCATCCAGGACTGCGCCAGCTGGCCACAGCTCGGCGGGCGGATGTTTTTCTTCTGGCCAAGGGGCTCTGCCCTCAGAGGAGGAAGAGTTACCCCTACCTCCACCCTTCGCCCGTTTTCCCTTTTGCGTCGCCACCGCTGGATTCGTCTCGGAATCCTGGTCAGAACGCACCTCGGGAGAGGTCCAGGGAGTAGCGGTATCGGTATTGTTTGGTTTCCCCACGTTCGGTAGCAAGTCATGGGAGGTTGGTGTACCTTTGTAATCCCATGTTGAGCGTGGATTGGCGTCGATTAGCGTTTTGGAGTCGTAGTTGGCGCCGATTCAGCGTCTGTTATCGTCGATTAGCGTCGATTCAGCGTCGATTAGCGTCGATTTAGGGTCGATTAGCTGCCACCGAAGCTTTGGGCTCAGGAGGGCATCGGGTCTTCCGGTCGCTCCTTAGATTTATGCATGTGGAGCTCGTTCGTGGCCCACGATCTATCTAATGGAAGGTCTCCTGGGGAGGCTTGTCCAGGGGGGGGGGGTCCCAGGAGGGGGTGTCGGATCTTGGCGGGGTTGTCCAAGGGGTAGTCTGGGCCGCGTTGTCTTGACAGCACGTGCGCATGCCATCATCATACACATCATCGAAGGCGTGGCACAACCTGCGAAGCCCAGCTGGAAATGTCGCCTCTCGTTCCTCCTTTTGCTCCTGTCCGTTCCTCCTCTCTCGTGTCCTCCTGCCGCTCCCGATCGCACGCCCTCCTTTACAGCGCTTCCCGAACCAGCTGTGCTGACTGGGGTCCCGTTGCGGTAGAAACTAGGTCTTGCCAAGGGGCCAGCGCTCAGAGACATCCACCAACATCGTGGGGGGTCTGGCCAGTTTCGCCAGAGACGTCCTCGCAACTCTGGGTTCGGTGATGCCCTGAACTGAGGTGGTCTGGCCAGTCTGTTTTGCAGCGTTCTCGTAAGTTGGGCTGCTCGGAGATGCCGGCGTCCCCGCATCTCTGCGCTCGGAGATGCAGCGCGCGAGGTGGTCCAGCCGGTTCCGCCAGAGACATTTGTGCTCGGAGATGCAGCGCGCGAGGTGGTCCTGCCAGTTTAGCCAGAGACATTCTGCCATCTCTTGATTTAGAATGTAGAGATGCTGCGTGACATTCCCGGCCAGTTTCGCTTGATATATCCTCGCAATTCTGGGCGCAAAGATGCTCTGACCTGAGGCGGTTCGGAGCGTTCCTTCTGAGACGTCGTCAGAAATGGGCGAGAGAAAGTCTGGCCAGTTTCGCTTGGGACGCACTCGCATGACTGGGCTCGGAGATGCAGCATGCGTGTCCAGTGTCGCCTGAGGCGCCCTCGCATTTCTAGGCTCCATTTCTGGGCTCATAAATGGCCTGACCTGAGGTGGTCTGGCCAGGTTCGTCTGCGACATGCCGCGCACAAGGTGATCCAGTCAGTTTTGCCTGAGACTTCCTTCTTGTCTTTGGATCGGACATGCAGAGCGCGCGGCCAGCGTCGTCAGGGTCGTCCTCGCAACTCTACGCACCGAGATGCCCTCACCTCAGTGGTTCGGCCAGTCTCGCCTGAGACCTCCGCGCGGCTTCGGCCTCCGAACTGCCGCTCGCGAGGTGGTCTGGCCCGTGTCGCCACAGGCATTCGCACAGTTCTGGGATCGGAGATGCCGCGCGAGAGGTGGTCCATCCAGTTTCGCACGATACACCCTCGCATCTCTGGGTTCCGAGATGCCCCGCGCGGGAGGTCGTCCAGCCTGTTCCGCGTGCGATGTTCACAAATATCTGGCCAGTTTCGCTTGGAACATTTCTCGCAACTCTGAGGTGTTCCAGCCAGTTTCGCCAGTGGGGCTGCCAGGGCTGTCAGGGGGCACGCCAGGAAGCTCACTCCAAGCGTGGCCGCTCGCTTGCGGCGCACGTAACGTTGCCCACGTTGCGCCCCAATTCGGCTTCTGCCAGTGCTGGGTTGTGCATGAAGGAGCGGCTGCCGGCACACGGGCACGCGCCGCTCCTTCTCGGTGAGTTGCGCTTCGCTGGGGGCAGCGCGGCAGATGTTGCGTGTCTCGCCGCGCATCGTCGCCTTGCCAAGCGCCCGCGGCCGTGCGCTGTGTCCGTGGCCCGCGGGTCAAAAAAGCCCCACCTCGGGTTGTTCGAGCGGGCCGTTCGCGTCTGCTGCGCTTGCCGAGAGGTTTCTCGCATGCGGCCTCGCTCGCCCCAGGCCGACAGGCCGCATGCCAGCGGGAAGCGGGGCGTGGGGCTGCACGCCCGGGCTTGAGCGGGCGAAGAGCGGTATAACAGAAAGCTGTCCGTCGCCAGGGGCGCTGCCCCAGGGCGGCTGGGAAGTTTGTACCTTGACGTGCCACCGTAAGGGTAGCAGCTTCCCAGCCGCCCTGGGACAGGCGCCTCCGACAGCGAAACAGGTTATTCTGTGTTGCTCTTCGCCCGTTAGGGGTCCCCGCCAGGCCCAGCGGTCAAATCGAAGCTTCGGCGGTCCAGGCAGTCCTGGGTACTGCACGCGTGAACGAGCTGGTCGGCACTGATTCACAGATGGTCTGGTGGGGCCCAGACTCCGCGTGGATCCTTGGGAAGCGGGCCCTGAATCTTCTCTTCTCCCTCCTCCGTGTCATCCGGCCTGGCTCCGGCGGGAAAAAGCAAGAGGAGGGAAGACGAGGGGGGCGAGGAGGGGCTGGAGGAGGAGGGGTGAGAGGAAACGGACCACCACGACAAGGATCACGATGCTGGCGGCGGCTGTTGTCTCGGCGGCGGCGCGCGCCACGGCGTACGCGGCCCTTTCGCAGTGCCAGTTTCAGAGGGGTCTGGCAAGCTCCGCCTGCCACATCCTCGCAACTCCAGGCTCCGAAGTGCTGCGCGTTAATTTGTCCAGCCAAGTCCCCCCTGAGATGTTCCTCGCCGCCTTCGGTTCCGAGATGCCGCGCACGAGATTGTCCAGTCAGTGTTGCTTGAGCTGGCCACGCAAATCCGATATGCCATGACTTGAAGAAGTGGCCCGGCCAGCGTCGCATGACACATTCTCGCAAGTATGGGTTCTGAGATGCCGCGCGCGACGTTTCCAAGCCAGTTTCGCTTGAGACGTTCTCGCAATTCTGGGCTCCACTATGCCCTGACGGAGGCGGTGTGGACTGTTCCATTTGAATATCGTCAGATGCCGCGCGAGAGTCGGTGTGGCTGGTGTCGCTTGAGACGTGCTCGCAGCTCTGGGTTCGCAGACGGCGCGTGCGAGGTGTTCCAGCCAGATCCGCCTAAGGTATCCTCGCAACTCTGGGCTCCTATGCTTTGATCTGCGGTGGTAGGGCCAGGTTCGTCTGCGACATGCCGCGCACGATATTCGCCATCCCATTTCGATCAACTCTGGGCTCTGAGATGCCGCGCGAAAGGTTGTCCAGCCAGGTTCGCCTGCGACGACGTTGCAACTCTAGTCTCCGAGATGCCGCGTGCGAGGTTGTCCAGTTCATTTCGCCTGAGATATTTTCTCAATTCTGTGCTCCGAGATACCGCGCACGAGGTTGTCCAGACAGTTTCGCCCGAGATATCGTCACAACTCTAGGTCCAGAGATGCCGCACGAGAGCTGGTCTGGCCACTTTCGCCTGAAACATCCTCGCAACACTGCGCGCTGGCCACGTCCCTGATTGGGAACAGTACTCTCGCCTCAACGCCGGCCACATCCATCATTGGGTACGTATGGTGCTGCCGCTCGAGTGCCAGCCACATCCGTGATTGGGACTGGTGCTCTTGCCCGAGCTCTGGCTACAGCCCCGTCTGGGATTGGTGCTGTCGCCTGCGCGCTGGCCACATCCCCCATTATTACGCGTGGTGCTCTCGCCTCAGCGCCTGCCACATCCCCAAGTGAGTACTGTGCTGCCGCTCGAGCGCCAGCCACAAACACATGCTGGGACGCGTATGGCATGCATCTCGGAAGGGGTTGTCCGAGTTGTGCGGGGGGGTGTCCTGGGATTTTTCGGGATAGCATTTTTCCATTAAGCATAGTAGGCCCGCCGTGACCAGAGCAAACATAAACCCTTCGTTGCTTAGCATGCGTGCCCTATCGTAGCACGATGGATGTATTCTCCTTGTCTTCTTGTTTCTCCTTCGGTCAAGGCGTTGGAGGGGGCGGTGCGCTGGAGAAGCGGCGATGCTGGCCTGGGCGTGGCCTGACGGAGGGGGAGTGCCCGCGACCCTCGCGCCGTGGTCTGCTTTGTGAGCGCGTCCAGGGCCGACCATGCCGTCCATTGGCCCTCCTTTTGGGACGATGCCGCAGTGGCCCACTGCTGGCGTCCTGGGACATGTCCAAGAGCTGCGTAAACATAAGCTCTCGGAAATCGTCCGCGCGGAGTTATGGGATCGGCGCTGGTCCCCACTTCCTGGCGCAAATGTTTTTTTCGTTTATGATGGCGGCTTGTCTCTCAAAGCTAGGCTACCTGGATAGCCCCCTGGCAGGTAGTCAAACGGTCTTCCCCCCACCACGATGACGGCAACAAGTCCGGTGCGCAAGCGACGCCGACCACCTCAACGACCACCACCGCGACGGCGGCACAGCGTCTATGGCGTTCGCGACAGCGCGCCCGCGAAATGGGGCGGCCGCCGCTTCAGGCGCTGGAGCAGTTCCAGAAGGTGGTGACGCTGGAGACGCAGAGGGGGACGGAGGTGGTGTGGAGATTCAAGGCGCCGATGGTCAGAGGAGGAAAGGGTACCCGTACCGCTACCCTTCCCTCGCTTTCGCCTTCTTGGGCCTCCTGGGGGGCCCTCGTCACCGCCGCTGGATTCGCCTCGACATTCTTGTCAGACCGCACCCCCGGAGGGGGATGAGGACAGAGGTTCGGCGGCGAGCCCCGGAGGAAGTGAGAAGGAGAACGCCTTCTCAGAAGGCTCGGAAGTCCCCAGCCCTTCTGAAAAGTTTCTAAGCCTTCCCCGGAGACACAACATTCTTCTAAGAAGGCGCGAGGGTTTCTGAGAAGTCCCGCCGCCTAAGAAGGCCTTCTTCTTCTCACCCCCCCCTCGCTCGCCGCCGAGAGGTGGCGTGGAGATTCAAGGTGCGGATGGGGCTCCTCTTGGAGTCTACTTTGGGTCTGAGTCGGTTCAGCCCTGGTTCTGGCGAGCAGGAAGTGTTGGGTGGGGGCTGAGGTTCGAGGTTCTGGGTTCGGGCAGTTGTCTTGTTGTCGTTGTTGTTGTTGTTGTTGCTGCTGTTGTTGATGATGATGATGTTGTAGTTGATTTGCTTTTTTCAGCCTCGGGGGGTCTTTTTCAATCACCAGGGCCGTCAAAACGGATCCAGGGTGAACAATTGCACCAGATGGATCCTGGCATGGGATCAGGAACAGACCTTGAGAACGGATTTGTCCTTATCCCTTGGCCTTGACCGGTTTCCCAGGGGCCCTTCCAGCTCAGATCCCATAGCGCCCTCCAAGGCTCCTCCTCCTCCTACTCCTCCTCCTCCTCCTCCTCCTCCTCCTCCCCTCCTCTTTCGTTGTCCCTCCTCCTCCTCCCCCTCCTCCTCCTCCCCCTCCTCCTCCTCCTTCTCCCCCTCCTCCTCCTCCTCCTCCTCCTCCTCCTCCTCCTCCTCCTCCCCTCCTCCTCCTCCTCCTCCTCCTCCTCCTCCTCCCCTCCTCCCTCCCCCTCCCCTTCCCCCCCCCCGCCCCCTCCCATCGCCGATCTATCGGCGATGTATCGCCGATTCCAGGTCGATGCGTCCCCCCCCCCATGTCCATCCCCCCCTATCGTTGCCCCTCACTCCTCCTCCTCCTGTCGCTATCGGCTTTCGGCGATCTGTGCGACCGCGGCCCTCCCCCCGCCGGGCGGAGGTGGTGTGGAGGGTCAGGGCATGGCGACGAAGGATCGCACCGCGTCGCCGGTGCATCGCCGATGCGACTCGGTGCGTGGCCCGATCTTCTCCGCACGGACGTCGCAGCGGCACCGCGGATTTCGCCGGTGCAACGCCGATGCATCGACGCTGCATCGCCGATGCATCGGCGATGCATCAGCGATGCGGCCAGATCCTCCGACCCCGTTTACTGCCATCTGTGAGACCTCTATTGTCGCTTTCGCTGTCGGCTTTCGGAGTTCGATTCGAGCGCCGTCGCCCCACCCCCACCCCCCCAGCAGCTGAGCTGTCTGCAAAGAGGAGCAAGGAGAGCAGCCCGAGCGCCGAACTGCATGTTGGGGCGGTGTAGCTGTCCGCTCCAGCACCCCTTGCGAAGGGGCAAGAGGAGGTCAGAGTGGCTGGGCCTCCGTGCCCCGCCGGCTGCCTGGGTCCCCCGCTGCGCGCCCCTCGCGCCTCGGCGGCGCCTCGGAGAGGGCCGACATAAGGGACCCGAGGGGCGGACACCTGCGAACGTCTCTGGTGCCGATGCTGCTCGGGGCGCCGACTGTCTTGCGCCCGGGGAGATCCTTCAGCTCAGCCATCTGGCCCCCGAGCGTCTCCACGGCGACTGGGGAGGCGAGGATCACGGAACTGAGGGGTTTCGGTATGCCAGGACACCGCCGTCCTTCAGCTCAGCAATCCTCGCCTCCGCAAGCGCCACGGATACGCTCAGGGGCCAGATCGCTGAGCTGAAGGTTCCCGTCTGTCGCGGCCTCCCGCCGCGCCCCCCGCGCCCCGCTGGCGCCGAGGCGCTGCAGAACATGGTCATCCTCTGCGCCCGGCAGGGGGCGGGGGGCAGAGGGCAGGGGAGAATCAAGGCAATTGTACACACTTCTCGATCTGTGCGTGTCATCCATTCGCAGGGGCCATGCTGAATCTCCTCTGTATCGCTCCAGTTTTAACAGGTGATCCCCGAAGGGAATCCGTTGGATAGTCAAGGCGAAGCCAGGATGAGGATTAACTCAGCCGAGGATGAATCCGGCGGCTTTGGAGGATGTCTCGGTAGGCGGTCTCTGAGAGCCTCGACGGCGGATGTCCAGCGCTCCTGAGAGCCTCTGACAGCCTCAACAGAGCCGATGGAGGATATCTCGGGATGTGAGTCTCTGAGATGCGGCGGCTCTGGAGGATGTCTCGGGCGCCGTGGCCTTCTCAGAGCGTCCCGGAACGCCCTGGGAGCGGTCCGGAACGCTCTTGTGGAGGGGAGGAGTGCCGCGGCGCCGTCGCACGTGGCCGCAGCGAGGGGAGTCTCCTTCGCGGGGGCGGCGAGGGGCACCTGGGGGCGAAGAGGCTGGGCGCGGAGGGCCAGGCCCTGCGATCTGGGCGGTGCCGCTGTTTCACACTCGGCTTAAGTCGGGCCTGTCCCTCTCTACGGGAGGGAAATTCAGAAATGTTGGCATGTTTTGAGCATGTTGAACTCGCTCTGTAGGGGGACATGCCCGACCCAATCGTATATGAATCCGGCTTAAGAAGCGCCGCAGGAAGATTTGGTCGATGACCCCAGTCGTGATGTTTCGCGGAGTGTTGACAATTGTTCGCAGCGTTGGATCTCAGGGGAGTGCGGATGGGCCTTCTGGCCCTTCAGTCGGGTATGTCCTTCTACAGGAGGAATATGTATAACAGTCTGGGGACGATTTTTTCTACATTTTTCTATTATAGTTTTCTATTGTTTGAAATGTTTCGGGTTATTTTCACGTTTCTTCCAAAATCTGCCTGCAGGAGGACATGCCCGACCTAATTTTAGCCCATTCCACAAATACCCCCTGAGGGGGAGTTTAGACGGGGGGATCTACACCACCTGATGGAGGAGTGCAGAAGGAGTCCTCTACCTAAGCCCCACGAGATCCTTCAGCTCAGCGATCTGGCCGCGGAAAGTCTCCATGGCGAGGCGAGGATGACTGATCTGACGGATTCAGGTATGCCCAGACACCAGAATTCTTCAGTTCAATATTCCGTGCTTCCCCTGTCGCCATGGAGATGCTCAAGGCCAGCTCGCTCACGTGAAGGAACTCAGGGGGCGTATCTCCCCTCCCGCGCGCGCCCAGGCTCCCCGGACCCCGTGGGAGCCTTTTTCATTCGTCGGAGCCCCCCAAGACGGTGTTGCGCCCCCAGGTGGTCCAGATCTCCAGGGACCTCGCCCTTCCCAGATCGGTGGCGCTCGCGCCCGCTTGCGTCGTCTCTCGGCGGCTTTCCAGCCCCGTGGTGCCTTATTGTGGCGGCTGCGCCTCGCCGAGGGCGCTCCGGGGGTGCCCGGATCGTCCCGGCTGGCCGCTGGAGAGCCGACCTGTAATGGCCCGAAAGGGCGGGGAAGCGACGCAGGGAGACAGGGTCGTCTGCGCGGGCATTGGCGCGCGGCCGCCCTCGTCTCTGTCTCTCTCTCTCTCTCTCTCGTGTACGCCGGACAATTTGCCGATCGGTTGCCCCGGTGATCCCCACGTCGGTGCGGATTGCCTCCGCCTTGCCGCCGACGGACCAAGGGCGGCCCGCGGAAGCCACCGCGTGAAAGGTCGCTGTGCCATCTCGCGTAAGACCTGTTTTTAATCGTCGACAAAATGGTCAGGAGGGGGAAAAACACACAGACACCTTTCACCGGCGACTCCCAGGAAAATATGGGAAAATATAGGAAAATATGGGAAGTGGGGGAGAGGACGGGAACCCAGAAAATATTTGAAAATACAGGGAATCCAGGGATTTGTACCGATTTAGTTGTTTGTCCCTGGGCCACTCTGAAGTGGGCCCCCAACGGTGTGGACGACACCGTGCGGTGAGTCAGTGGGGATTCGGGGTCACCGCACGGCTGGGGGACTTGGGTCGGTTCCCTCTTGGACGTGCGACTACGGCGGGCGATCACGTCGACGACGACGACGACGACGATGAGGAACGACAACGACGACGGCGGACGACGACGACGACGACGACGATTGAGGGCGACGACGGCGGACGACGACGAAGACTGGCGACGACGACGACGACGAGGAGGGCAAGGTCGAGGTCGAGGACGACGACAACGGCGACGACGACGAGGTCCAGGTCGAGGTCGAGGACGACGACGACGACGACGACGCGTGATGACGATGACGACGACGACGACGACAAGGGTCCCAGAGCCGTGCACGGTGCCGGGCCGCGCGGTGAGGTCTCTTTTGGGACTTCGAGGTCGCCACGCGGCCTGTCACCACACGGCGTTGGGACCCCCAGATGGGGTCGGGGTAGAGTAAGTCGGGCGCGTCCCTCTTCAGGAGAAATATTTTTGAGTACGTTCGACTTTTTTGGGGGCAAGGTTTGAGTTTTCACCCAAAATCCCCCTGTAGGAGGACATGCCCGACCTAAGGGTAGAGTGAGGGGCCAATTTTACACGACCGCTACCACAGATGGGACGGGGGAGAAGGGATAATGGGGAGGTCTCCTCCTCCCCCTCCTCCTTTACCTGCTCTTCCTCCTCCTCCTCCTCCTCCTCTTTCTACCTATGGTAGTGGTGGTGGTGGAACAATCGGCCCATCATAGATGGGGTCGGAGGCTTGAAACGACAGGTCCGTTCTTGTACCGTTCCGTTTTGTCGTTTCTTGGTCGGTCTTGTCGCCGTTGTTTTTGTTGGTTTCGTGGCCGTACGCTAGCCGGTTCTGGTCCCAGTTCCAATTCCGGGGCCGTTTTCGTTGCGTTTCTTATTGCCGTTGTTTTCCCAACCCTCCTGCGTTGGGTTCTCGTTTTGAATGTGGCGCTGCGGTCTCCGTCATTCCTTCCTCCTCCTCCTCCTCTTCCCCGCTTCCCTTCTCCTCTCCTCGCCTGAGCGCCTGGTGGCTTGCCTGTGGGGCCTGCGAAGTGTGAAGCTGGCATGCCTTGGGAGCTGCGATCTGCGAAATGGTCGCCACTTTCGAAGGCTGCTGGGGGGACCAGCACAGTGGGTACCCGCCGCAGGCTCATATTAGACCTCGCCATCCCTGGGGCCAGTCTCGAGGGCTGCTGGGGGACCAGCATAGTGGGTACCTTCCGCGGACTCAGATTAGACCTCGCCATCCCTGGGGAGCTGCAGTTTGCGAACGGACGACGACGAAGACGACGACGACGGACGACGACGACGACGACGCGGACGACGACGACGGACGACGACGACGACGACGACGACGACGACGACCACGACCACGACGACGACGACGAGGTCCAGGTCGAGTACGACGACGTCGAAGACGGGCGACGACGACAACGACGAGGTCGAGGACGACGACGACGAAGACGGGCGACGACGGGCGACGACGACGACGAGGCTTCCAGGGCCGTGCACGGTGCCGGGCCGAGCGGTGAGATCTCTCTTTTGGGGAATTTCGAGGTCGCCACGCGGCCTGCCACCCCACGGCGTTGGGACCCCCAGATGGGGTCGGGGTGATTTTATGTCGGGCATGCCCCTCTTCAGGGGGAATCTGCAACAATAGTCAAAACATAGTCGGGACGACTTGTTCTACTAGTTCTGTTGAATCTGTTTGAGCACGTTTTTGACTATTTTTCTGCCCACAGTCTGATAGGGGGACATGCCGCATGTTCTGGTCCTGGTTCGAATTCCAGAGCCGTTATTGTGGCGTTTCCTATTGCCGTTTTTTATATATTGTTCCCATTCGCAAGAGATAATTCTCCATGTTTTACATTGTTCTTATTCTTAATATTGTTCTCATTTTCAAGAGAATTTGGGGGAGACGGTGCAAACCGGCCCTGCCGCGTCCTGGGCCCACTGAGGTCGGAGGCTCGCCTCGCTTCGCGCCGACGCGTCGGCGATGCGGATCCCTCAGGAATCCTTCCCATGAAATCCAGAAACCCTCTGGACCCTCCAGAAATCCTCGGGGCTCCTCCAGAAATCTTCGGGACTCCTTCAGAAATCCTCTGCAGAGGCCCTCCAGAACTCCTCGGGACTCCTCCAGATAAATCCTCGAGGAATCCTCGGGGAGATCCTCCAGGACTCCCCGAGGACTCCTGAGGAACTCGGAGGACCCCCCCAGGGATTCCCTGGGAAGCCAAAGAGAAGAACCCGATGTGGAGGAGCCCGGCCCGATTTTCTCCACGCCGGTGGCGCCGATGACTCGCCGACGCTGCCGGTGCATCGCCGATGCGGCCCGACCCTCGGACCCTCTACTGTCGGGGGTAGACAGAACCCCCAACAGTGACACGTCGATTAATGAATTGTCCGTTTTCGGTTCTCGAGAGGGCGCCGTGGCCGTTATTTTCCAGGCTTGCGCCCGCCAGGTTTGGGCCTCGGGTCGTTTTCACTAAACCACATTTTACTAAAGGGGGGTCTGTCCATCCCCGATACTGCCCATCTGGCTGTCAGGCCCCCCTCAGGCCTGACATGGCAGTTGCCCCCCCCCCCTCTCTCGCCTCCTCTGCTCACACGGAGCATGGAGCCTCCCAGATGTCGCAGCCCGCGTTTCTTCTTTCGGTGCGCTCCCCTGCTTTCTCCGTGCTCGTTGTGCCGAGAAGCACCCAGATCCATGTCCACGGGTGCGACCATCGCGAACGAACAGTTTTTTTTTTTTTTTTGCTTTCCTCTTGGGGGCCCGCTTGCGATGCCCCAGGCCCGTCAACAGGAACTGCTCGGGATGGAAGAACCGTCCCTGGGGAACGGGCCGAGAACTCCCCGGGGCTCCCGCTGTGAACAGATCGTGGTGGCGGTGATGTCTGGGCAACCCGGTCCCGAGGGAGAAAAAACGGCTCCCGCGATGTTTGTCCGCCGTTTCTGCGGGATCTCAGGGCGTTCCCTGGTCCCCAGGGCAGGAGGGAGCCGTAAGAGGACGACTCTCGTGACGAGGCGCTGGGGCAAGGTCCTCTTTCCCTCGGGTGTTGCCTGTTTCATGCCTGCGTCCTTCGTTGCCCTCACCTTCTCCAGTGCCAAGAGATAGCCTTACGATTTATGGGCCCGTCATGGCTGCTAGACCCTTGATAAGTTTAAAGGTACGTGTTATTATGTGCCAGCCTACTTCGGCCTTGACCACCAGAAATAATTTTGAGCCCAGGAAAGTACCGACACTGGAGGATTTATCGTGTCGGGCCCTGGGAGGCGATACACTGTCGACACCGTTTCGATACTTCTGTGGGTGCTCAAACTCATCCCTGGGATGTGGGCCTCAAGTACGATGGGAGCAACAGAACCATAGTGCTGCTTTGCAGCCCTCCTGGCAGATCGGGGTGCAGAGTGGCCAGGGGCTCTGAGAGGGGCTCCAGAGGTTCGCGCAGGCTTCCGCAGAGATCGCCAGAGACCTTCGGAGGCCACGCGGGGGACAAGGAGGCCGTGACTTTCCAGGAGGGCTAAGAGATCCCCTGGCCTTGGCTGTCCAGGCGGCCGACTTTCCAGGAGGCCTCGGATTCCCAGGAGTCGCGCTTCCCCTTGGCGCCCGCCCGCCTTGGTTTCCGTCGTGCGCCAGGGAGGGGGGTCCAGCGCCGATCCCAGAGATCCGCGCGGGCCTCCGACAGTGTATACTGCTTGGGCCGTCGCTTTGTTTGCTGATATATGTGTATGTATGTGTATCACTGTATGTGTATCGATGCGTGTGTATATGTACATGTATATGTACGTGCATGTGTGCATGTACATATACCTGTACACGGATACGACTATGTGTAGACGTATGTGTATGTGTCAATGTGTATGTGTATGTGTACGTGTATGTGTATGTGTATGTGTATGTGTATGTGTATGTGTATGCGTGTGTATGTGTATGTGTATGTGTAGATGTATGTGTATGTGTATGTTTTACTTGCACAGGCGTTGAAGGTATACACACATATGTTAATCTGTATGTGCATACATGTCGATGCATTTGTATGTATTCATATCCATATTTATATATGCATGCACATGTAACAATATGTATATGCACATATGCATAGCTGTATATACATATGTGTAATCATAGGCATATGCAAATGGGTGCGGGAACGGATATGTATATAGACATCGATGTGGATCTGGAATTGGATACGGATAGGGATATGCATATGGATCGGTGCATGTGTATAGACATGTATATATACACACAGATCACCATGGACTTCTTGCCCTTCTCTGTTGGTCGAGGCTTCAATCAGCCCGGGCACGTGTACGGATCTGGGGAGGCCCCTCGGGGGCACAACCGTGAGGTCGAAGGCGAGGGCGGGGCGCAGCGACCCTGCCACGAGGGCACTCCATTCCCCCCTCCTCCTCCTCCTCCTGCTCCTCCTCCTCCTCCTCCCCCCCTCTTCCCCCTCCTCCTCCTCCTCCTCCTCCTCCTTCTCATCCTCCTCCTCCTCCTTCTCCTCCTCCTACTCCTCCTCCTCCTTCTCCCTCTCCTTTCCTCCTTCTTTCTCCTCCCTCCTCCCCCTCCATTCCTTCGCTTTGTACATGGCTTCCTCCGTGTTGCACCCCGAGGCCAGTTTTTAGGACGGGCCGGCGTTTCGCTTGAGACTTTCTCACCATTTATGACAACAGCTTCACAGATGGAGGGCGGGTCATTTTCAAGATAAGACTCTCGCCTCAGCGCCGCGCACATTCATTTTTGAAAGTGCAAGACTTTCACGGATTAAGGACGGGCTGTCAAAATGTGGCTCTCGCCTTAGCACCGCGCACATTCATTGTAAGCAACTGCAGAAGTTTCACGGATTGAGGGCGGGTGGTTTTCGAAATGTTGTTCTCGCCGTAGCACCGCGCAGATTTATTTTAAACATTTGCAAGAGTTTCACGGATTGAAGGCGGGCCGTTTTCGAAATGTGTGTTCTCGCCTTAGCGTTACGCGCATTCATTGTAACATTGTGCACGAGTTTCACGGATTGAGGGCGATTCTTTTTCAAATTGTAGTTCTCGCCTAGGCGCCGTGCGCATTCGTTATAAACATTTGCAAGATTTTCACGGAATCCCATGATCAACGTACCAGGAATGGCGTTCTGGAAGGATTCAGGATTACGCGGGCGCAACAGGTATAATGTTTCACGTGCCAGACATGGCGTTCAGGCGCGATTCCCGATCGTCAAGACGCAGCAGTCGGGTTGATACGTGGGGTCGAAATCCCGAGTACAATGTTTTGTCACGTTTCAGGATCTTCAAACGGTTGTCTTCCAACGAGGCAGTGAACCTTTGCAGGAGCCCCGTGAAGAGGGGTTTTTGAGGGAGTGTGAATTCCAACATCGTTGATGATTCATGGGTTTACAATGGGTCTCCTCCTCCTCCTCCGCTTCTTCCTCCTCCTCCTCCCCCTCCTCCGTCCTCCTCCTCTCCGTCCTTCTCCTGCTCCTCCTCCTCCTCCTCCTCGAGCATAGGCTTCACCAGCGACGCAGCAGGTCGTCTAGGCGAGAGATGCATTAGATGCTTATTTGGGAACCTTCCCGGGGCCCACCGAACGGAACTGTTCGACTCCAGTCCAACCCCAGTTCAATTCAAATTCGACTCAAGTTCGACTCAGGTTCACCCCTGGTCGTCTCGAATCGACGGATGTTCGGCGCAGCTTCGGCGCAGGAGTGGTGCGAGTGGCTCCAGGAAGGTTTCCAGAGTGAGCAGCCAGGTGGGGGGGGGGGCCAGGCTGGGGAAGCTGAAAGACATGGCCACCCGCTACCGCGAGCTGCTGAGCTACATGGACCAGGCCGGCGGTCCGCCCTCTCGCGGGGCTTCCACCCGTGGCGACGAGGGGAGGGAGGGAGGCGGGGAGGAGTGGGAGGGAGGGGGGCGGGGAGGTGGGAGGGAGGCTGAGGTGGACGAGGAGGACGAGGAGGGATGACGGGCCCATTTTCCACCACGACTACCATAGGTAGGATAGGGAGGAGGAGGAGGAGGAGAACCTCCTCATCCTCCCTTCTCCCCCCCTCCTACGTGTGGTAGTGGTGGTGGAGAATTCGTCAATCAAGGGAGGGAGGGACGAAGGCGGAGGAGTCGTGAGGGGAGGAGGGGCCAGGGCGGCCAGGGGCCAGGACGGGGGTGCCCAGTGGGCCCTGGAAACGACCCCTGGCAGTTCTGTTCTCCCTGTTCCGTTTTCCAGTCTTTCTTTATTTTCAAGTTGTAAGTCGTGCACGTTCCTTTACAAGAGGAATGTTCAAACATAGTGAAAATATAGTCTTGGGACGATGTTCCGACAATGTTTGACCATTGTTGTTTATTACTTGTCTTTGTTTCAGTTTTCTTACCAGATCCGTCTATATGAGCACACGCCCGACCTAGCTCAAGTTCCGTTGCCGTTTTGTTTGTCCGTTTCGGTTGCTATTCTTGCGGCGGTTTCGGTTGCAACATGTTTGTTCCGGGTTCGATGAGCAGTTTCTTTTGCATGGCCTTTTGAGATTCAAGAGCCAGGTTCTGGAAACGGTCAATGGATTTCCCTGTCGTGGCCATAGACTACCAAGTGTGGGCGGCCTTTCACAGGGTGGTCCCGCTGCAGATGTGTGGGCGGTGGGGTAGCCGCGTGAGTCACCAAGAGGACATTATTTCCTGAGGGCGAGGGAGGGTCTCCTCCTCCTCCTCCTCCTCCTCCTCCTCCTATTCCTTCTCCCCCTCCTCCTCCCCCTCCTCCTCCTCCTCCTCCTCCTCCTCCTCCTCTCCTTCTCTTCCTCCTCCTCCTCCTCCTCCTCTCCCTCCTCCTCCGGCCTCCGAGGCACCCAGGCCCCAGGGCCGGCGAACCGCTGTCTCGGGCCGAGGCAGCCGGTCCTGGGCAAGGCCCCGGGGTTTCTGTACAGGGCCCGTGTCCCCGTCTGGCCTCCTCTGTGCCCCTCTTGTGCCAGCTCCAGCGTGTCCTCGCAAGAAGGGGGGGCGAGTGGGGGCCCGAAGGGGGACCGCCCGAGTCCAGACCCTGGAGGCTGCGATTGTTCCAACCCAGCGTCCTCCTCCGTCCTCCTCCTCCTCCTCTTCCTCCTCCTCCTCCTCCTCCCTCCCCCCCTCCTCCTTCTCCCCTCCTCCCCCTCCTTCCTCTCCTCCTCTTACCCTCTCCTCCTCCTCCTCCCCTCCTTGCCCTCCTCCCTCCTCCTCCTCCTCCTCCTCCTCCTCCTCCTCCTCCTCCCTGGGCCCGTTCCCTGGGTCCAGTCTGCCGTCCCGAGGCGCGCATGGCCAGGCCTGGTGCTCGGCAGTGGGCCCCGGGGGCCAAGGCCTGAGCGCCGTCAGGATTTGTGCTCGACGCGAGGGGGTCCGCAGGCGGGGGCGGTAACCTGCAGGGTACCGTGCTCGCTCGGGGCTGTGCGCGGTCCCGTCCAGGTGGCTCGGGGGTGGCCAAGAGGAGGGTGATGACTAGGGAGGGGTGGATATCATGGTGTGGGCCATGATATCTCCCCAGATCTCACGGCGCCTCTTCTCGTTGTACTACGCCCCTGGCCCCCCTCCATGGGCCGCGCACATGCCGCCGGCCATGATTTGCGCCCCCCCCTCTTGGACCCCCTCCTCTTGGCCGTCCCCGAGTGGCGATCACCCCCTGCACAGGTCCAGGAGCAGCTGGTTCCAGCTCGGGCGGGGGCCTCTGCGGAAGGTCCCCGCCGCCCGCAGTGCCAGGGGCCCACGCCCGCACGAGTGCTGCAGAGCTCCCCCGGGGCCCTCGAATGCTTCCGCACCGATTGCATTGCCCACTTGACGTGTCAAGTTCAGCCGCGCGCAGTGACGTTTAACCTTGTGGAGATACGAGACCTGAATCGTGCATTGGCACCAGGCTGATCAAAAAAATGCCTGCCTTGCTTTTCACAGCGCCCGACGGGGATCACGACCGGCCCTCCCAAGATGCCAGAGGGCAGGCGGCTTGTTGGAACAGAGCGGGGGCTGCCAAGGGGGCTCGCTGGACGGCGGGATACCTCCCGCATGAGAGGCTCGGAGAAGAAACATAGTCATGAAGAGTGGACGTGTGGTGCTCGTTTTTTATAGCTTGTTCTGAAGATCGGCGTGGGCCGTCGCCCCCCCCTCCCCCATGGAGTGTTGGCGCCTGTTTCGAGCAGGCGGAGTCTTCCTCATAGGACGCACTGTGGCAAACAGTCCCGCTCAGCAGAGGTCAGGAGCCGGACGCCCCTCCCCTTTTCCGGCCCATGCCGAACCGCCCAATCAGAACCGAGCGTTTTCTTAGGGTGGAGGGCACAGGGTGAAATCTGAAATGCCGTTTCGATGGATTTTCGAGGCCTGAATCTGCAAGAGGCGAGTCACAAGATGGATTGACATTCGAGGTGCACGCGCGCATATGGATTTCACCCTGAACCCTCTAAGAAAATGCTCAGTCCTAGATGGGGTCGGAGGATCGCGCCGCATCGCCGACACATCGGCGATACATTGGCGACGCATCGGCGATGCATCGGCGATGCATCGGCGATGCATCGGCGACTCCAGCGTGTAGAAAATCGGGCTCCGCATCGAGCCGCATCGCCGATGCATCGACGATGCTGCGCGACACTCCGACCCCATCTACTCGGACCCCATCCAGGAGTCAAGTGAATAATCTGAGGTAGTCAAGAAACATTGCCAGGGCACCCTGAGCACATGCTTAGGAGAAGACGCTCGCGACGGACGTGTGCCGAGGCCCGCACGGATTTCCTCGGAGCCGCGCTGGGCCCCTGACGGCGCCGCCTCCCGGCGAGCCCCTCCTCGCGCCAGGGCGGGGGAGGGCCAGCGCCGAGCCGAGGCATCGGCCTGGTGCCTCCGCCTGTTTCTCGTTTGTTTTCCTGTTTCAATGCATCTATAAACATATGTGAACCTTTCCTTGGCTGTCTTCAGGTCGGGCGTGTCCCTGCACAGGAGGAGTACCCACAAATAGTCCAACAAGAGTCTCGGGACGAGGGTCCGGCTAATTTTGGATCATGCTCGAATCTTGTTTGCCCGTTTTTTTTGATTTTCCCTCCAAAGTCCGCCTGTAGGAGGACATGCCCGGCCGAACATTATCATCTTTCGAAAAAGGGAGTGCGCGCACATGGTTTTGTGCGGTCTCCGTGAGAGCGCGGTCCTCGTCTCAAGTGGCTTTGGTGCTAAGCGCTCTCCGCGCTTGAGCCGAAATGTCTACGGAGGGCGCTTAGCACCGAGGCCACATCCCATCATGGCAGAGTGGTTGGCCAAGCATAACAGCAAGAACCGTCCACGTCTTGAGTCGGTTGCTGCACCTCATTCCCGGCGGAAGCGGTCTTCCTCTTGCCCGCGTGCTGCCACGCAGCGTGCCGTGTGAGCGCCAGCGCCGCGCCGAGGTCACCAGGAACGACGCCAGCGAGGCCGCCGCCGCGGCCTCCCGCATGGGGCGGGCATCCATCGAGTTCTGGCGGGCATCCTCTGGGGGCCTCGTCCCTCCTCCTTGGCGTCGCTCGGATCCCAGTGTCCAGAGAGGTCTGGTTACGCTGCAGCTTCGGGGGACCTGGCCTGTCCCCCAAATTGGTGTTTCTTTGTGCCCGACGCGGGCTCCATGCGGACACGACGCGGATGTGGCGAGGGTTCGACGCAAGCGGATTCGACACGGATCCGACGAGTCCGACATGGATGCGACACGGATTCGACGCGGATAAGGCCGCGATGGGACAGACAAGGTCCTTCGAGGACGCAACACAACAGTGTCCAGAGAGGTTTGGGCCCGTGCTCGGCGGCCAGTTTCTCATCGCGGTTCGTGCTGTTTGCGCGCCCAGGGCTCTGCCATCCACACGAGCTTCTTGCGGTGATCCCTGGCCCTCCAGAGTGTCAAATATCTCCTCGCCAGATTGGTAGATGGGAGGGGGGGAGCGGACCATACCTCCATCTTCAAGCATCGAGACGGTAGGTGTACGCAACTTTCGGCCTCCATGGGCAGTTTATAGGCTTGCCAGGCCTTCCGAAAATATCGGCCAGCAACGAGCTCCACGGTCCCTGGTGTCAGGATGCTCCAACCCGCTTGAGTTTTGATCACCAGATAGCGTTCCGAGCACCAGAAAGATGTCGGGCCCTGGAAGGTTCTCACGTGTCGGGCCCTGGAAGGCGGTTCTCGTTCGACCCTTCGCCAGCGTGTGGGGCAGACACGATTTCGATGCACATTTTGTTTGGTGTTTTTGGGGGTTTTGGGATGTGGTCCTCGAGCACGATGGGAACAACATATCCCTTGTGTTCTTCTTCTTCTTCTTCTTCTTCTTCTTCTTCTTCTTGGCCCTCCTGGGAGACCCCGGGCCCCGTCGATGAGAGGTGCTTCCGCGGCGAGGCGCGTGGGGGTCGGGAGAGGGACACGAGAGAGAGTCGGTATCGTCTAACCAATCCCCATCCCCATCCCCATTCCCTTCGAGACCCCACCAAATTGCCACCCCAGTTGGGGATACACTCCTCGAAACCCGAAGGGAACGACCAATATCCCCGCCCAGGGGGGTAAATCGGCCAGTGGGGCCCAGGCCACGCCGCTGGGGATGGGGATCGGTGAAACGATACCCGGAGAGAGCGAGAGGGAGGCGTGGGGGCCACCGGGCGAGGACGAGAGGCGGTCGGCTGGCGGAGGGCGGCCGAAGAGCCGGTCGGCGCATATCCAGGGGAGGCGGTCCTCCTCCTCCTCCTCCCTCCTCCTCCTCCTCCTCCTCCTCCTGCTCTCCTCCTCCTCCTCCTCCTCTCCTCCTCCTCCCCCTCCTCCTCCTCCTCTCCCTCCTCCTCCTCCTCCTCCTCCTCCCCTCCCCCTCCTCCCTCCTCCGTCCTCCTCCTCCTCCTCCTCCTCCTCCTCCTCCTCCTCCTCCTCCTCCTCCTCCTCCTCCTCATCCGTCCTCCTCCGAGGATCAGTCCAGTTCGGAGGCTGATAGGGTTCCTACCCTGACACGTCGATTGGTGAACTGGCCGATTTCGGTTCGCGAGAGGGCGTCGCGTCCGTCCTTTTCGCGGGTCCGGGTCCGTCGGTTTCGGTCCTGGGTCGTTTTTGTCAAAGGGAGGTTTACTAAAGGGAGGTTTGTCCACGGCCGAACAGTGGGGGCCCATGCTAAGAAACACCTTGCTTGCCTCCAGGGTGCCCTGGACTTCTCAGGGGTCGAGGGTGTTGCGGCGGAAAGTGTGACGTTCCCTCACCAGAAGTCAAGGGACGTACTGGGGTGTCAGGCTTGGGTTTGTTGTGGAAGGTTTCATGTGGTCGGGCCCCAACTGTATCCAGGGAAGCCGCGCGGAGGCCGAGGATCAGTATCGTTTAAGCGATGCCTATCCCCAGTCCTCAGAGGAGGATCAGATACCCATACCGCTACCCATGGTGCTCCTTGGAGGCCCTCGTCGCCACCGCTGGATTCGCCTCGAAATCCTGTTCAGAACGCATCCCTTGAGAGGTCTGGGGGGTAGCGGTATCGGTACCCTTTTGTCTCCCCAGTGCCCATCCCGAGCCCCACCATCCCACTACCCAGTTGGGGATGTGCCCCTCTCAACCAGGAGAGAAGAGAGTGTATCCCCATCTAGGTGGGTAAATTTGCCAGTGGAGCCCAGGCCACGCCAGTGGGGATGCTCAGATGCGGGGAGAAGGATGAGGAGCAGGAGGAGGGGGAGGAGGAGGAGGAGGAGGAGGAGGAGGAGGAGGAGGAGGAGGAGGAGGAGGAGGAGGAAGGGAGTTCATTTAAGCTACGGATTTTCAGACAGCCTTCATCGACCGACCGACAGAGGGGGAAGAGAAGGAGGAGGAGGAGGAGGAGGAGCAGCAGCAGCAGGAGGAACAGGAGGATGGGAAAGGTGTGGGCGAGCGGGGGGGAGGCGCGAGCAGCAGTGTGTGGACGAGGAGCACTAGGCCTGCCTTTCTGAATCGTCTGTTATGGCCCCTCCGCTGCACGTTAGGGTCCGCCAGCCCGACCCGACCCGCCTGCGCGTCGTCGTCGTCGTCGTCGCCGCCGTCGTCGTCGTTGCCGTCGACGTCGTCGTCGTCGTCGTCGTCGCCGTCGCCGTCGTCGTCGTCGTCGTCGTCGTCGTCGTCGTCGTCGTCGTCGTCGTCGCGACGGCGCGACGGCGGCGCCGCGGATTTCGCGAGGGCGGCGCGGGGAGCGCGGTCCCCGCGGAGGCTCCGAGCAGCGGCCCCCCGCCGCCGCGGCGAGGCGATCAACAACGTCCTCGACTCGGCATCGTCGACGAGCGAGCTCTCGAAGCTCGAGACGAGCCTCCGCCCGCAGCGTTGGCCCTCGGCTCGGTCAAGTAAAGCTCGGGCATGGTGGAGTCGGACAGCGGAGCTCTGCACTCGGCCAGGCCGAGCTCGGCCAGGCCGATCTCGGCCGGGCTGAACTGGGCCAGGCTGAAGGTGGCCCGGGCCGAGTTCGGCCTGGCCGAGTTCGGCTGGCCGAGTTCCGCTCGCGCGAGTCTTTTTTCTTGTCGGGAGGACCCCCCCCCACGTTCTCATTTCAGGGGGTGTGACCCGGGCTCCTGGCGGCGACAGATTCTCTGGGGGGGGTCCACTGCCCAGTGCAGTGACAATACAGCAGGCGTGGCACTTCTACTCCTCCTCCTCCTCGACCTCCTCCTCCTCCTCCTCCTCCTCCTGTCTGAATCTTGGTCAGTCGTTTGTGTAACTGTTCCCGGGCTCGCGCAGCCGTCGCCCGTGACTGTAGGTGGGGGGGGGGGGGCAGGCTCCGGCGTGGAGGGGTGGGGGAGAGAAGGCCAGGGGCAGCGCAGGGAGGGCTGGTCGGCTCATGATCAGGCGATCGCAGACATGGATCAAGGGGGCATGGATTAGCGACGGGTCCCGTTTCCATCGGAAGTCGCGGATTACCGCCGCCGAGCGAGGCGGCACAGGCGGCATTTTGGGGAGGGCACCTCCCCCGATCCATGGATGAGGCGACCGCGCGACAGCTCCATGGTTCGCTGATCCATGTTTGGCGCGCCCCCGACATGATGGTTTTTAATGCCCGTGTCTTTTCGTAGATTTCGGCCCCAGGGGGCCGTTAGCAGGCGTTACCCCCCAGGGAAACGGTCGGGCCCGTTTGGGCCACGCATGGAGTAAAGCACTAGGTTTTCGCACGTGTTCGTAGATTCTCGGCTGTCTTCCGCCTCGTGGTGCTTCACAGCGGCTGCGACTGGCCGAGAGCGCTTCTGGGGGTGCCTCCCGAAAGGACCGCCAGAGAGTTGGACTATTACCCAAAGCTGCGGGGGAACAGAGATGGTGGGGGAGGAGGGCTCGAGAGTTTCTACAAGGGAACATATCGGGGGTGGACAGAAACCCTACCCTGACACGTCGATTAGTGACATGTCCGTTTTTCGCTTCTCGAGAGGGCGCCGCGCCCGTCATTTGTCGGGCTTGTGTCCGCCAGCTTTGGGCCCGAGGTCGTTTTCACTAAACCACGTTTTACTAAAGAGGGTTCTGTCCATCCCCGAATATAGGAGCTCCCGCCTTCTCCTCCTCCTCCGCCTCCAGCCTCGGAGGAGAGACCAGGACGGACCCGAGAGGTGCCGGAGGCCCACCTGGAGCGGATCTGGGCCCAGCGGGAGGGCCGCCGTGGTCTCTAGGCCTCGCAGATGGGGTCGGAGCAGATGGGGTCGGAGGGTCGTGCCGCATCACCGATGCATCGGCGATGCGGCTCGGTGCGGAGCCCGACTCGCTACGCCGACGGCGCGGAGGCATCGCCGATGCATTGCTGGTGCATCGCCCATGCATCGCCGATGCATCGGTATTGCATCGGCGATGCGGCGCTCGACCCCATCTACTCCGACCCCATCCAGGATGCCTCTACAATGGGCGGGCGAAACAAAGAGGGGAAGAAAGGTATTTTTTTCAAGCAGTGGCGAAGCGTCGTGGCGTGCCTATAGGCCTACCAAACAATGTTGAAAGAACCTTTTGTGGTTTCCACGACACGTTCTCACAGCAGTTCTGGCTGGGGCTGTCTTGTCCAGTATCACATCGGGTTTATGTTCTGAGGCCATCGCTCCTGTTCCTGGGACATGTCTGGATTCCAAGGACATCTCGTGGCAGGCCTGTAGGAATGCCGGGACGGTCGGTCCCTGCCCACTTTGCCGGGCCTCCGAAGGCCCCCTTGCATGGCTTATAGAAGGTTTTCGGAGGGCCCCGGGACCCTTCTCTGCCGCCCTCGCTGCCCCCCAGTTGCGCCCCTGGCGCGCGTCGCGGCCCAAGTCGTAAGTCGGGCGATTCCCTTCACAGGAAGAATATTAGGTTTATAGTTTGGGGACGATTCTTTAGTTGTTTGGTATGTTTTATAATCTGTTCGATTTTTCGTCCAAAATCCGCCTGTAGGGGACCATGCCCGACCCAACGCTTGGCCCTCCGCTTGTCAGCTATGCTTCGTCGAGGGCGTTCCCGGCCTGCCGGCATCGTCCTGAACGGCCGCCAGAGAGCCGCGTGACGGCCCGCAGGCCACGGGGCGGGGCAAAGTTTGGGGGGGACAGGCTCAAGCTATGACGTTTCAACCTACTTTGGCCTTGATCGCCAGAAATAATTTCGAGCACCAAGAGAGTACCAACAAAACTCTAGGGTTTTCACGTGTCGGGCCCTGGGAGACATTCGCCCGACGATGTTTCGACATTGTTTCGACACTCTTTCGACACTTTTCCGGGTGCTCGAAATTACTTCTGGGATGTGGCACTTACGTACGATGGTAGCAACATAAGGCTCAAGGGAGGATGCATCGACCCCCGATCACCCATCCATCGCTGATGGCGGGGGTCCGATAGCCCTCCCGGCCAGGGAGCGCGCGGCTTTGCTGTCGAGGGCTTGCCGCGCGACCTATCGGCGACGCATCGCCGACTCCAAGTCCATGCCCCTCCTCCTCCTCCGTCCTGCTCCTCCTCCTCCTCCTCCTCCCTCCTCCTCCTCCTCGTCCTGCTCCCTCCTGCTCCTCCTCCTCCGCGTGCTCACGCGTGCTCGACCATAGACCCGCGTCGTCACTCCCTGGCCCGGCCGGAGGCGCATGCGTGGAGGCTTCATGTCGGTGCCATCTCGGGGTGCTATCCCCCAGGCGGAGCTCCAGCTAAGCAGTTAATCTGCATAGGATGAGCATCGACGCCGTGGTCGTTCGTGTTAGCGGCGGCGCAGTGGGCGTCGTCCTCGGCGATACAGTCAACCCGCTTAGTAAGGATGATCAACTGTCCAAGGTTCACTGCCCTTGCATCCTTCCCCCTCGGCCTATTCCTGGCCGCTTTCGCTGGCCGCGCCCCGCTCGCAGAGTGACGACATGGCCTTCCAGGGCCCTCCCACGGGCTGACTATGTGCCCGTCGCCGCCCTTGGAGTGTGACGAATCGTCACAAACAGAAGCGTTCGGAGAGATCTGCGCGGATGCCTCGTGTCGGCGTTGAGCTCTCCAAGGCGGTGCCTCCGGTGACGCCCCTGGCGCGCTGCGCGCGCCACTGAGGAGGCTCTGACGCCGACCTTAGACGTCGGACGCCTGCTCGGACCTCTGCACCTTTACGTTTATGCCGGCGGTTCTACTTCTGTCGCCGTGTCTCTCTCTCTCGCTCTCTCTCCGGGACGGTCGAATTGGGTTCGGAAAGAGTGGGCAGAGAGACCGGCAGTAGTTCTGTTTAATTTTGACAGGACTCGCTGCCGGTGTCGCCGCGGCCTGTGTGCATTTGAGGCAGAACGCCACATGCCCAACAGCGAGCGCAGTTGGTTGGGGCAACATTGTTGCTGGGCATTGTACCCATGTTTTTCCGTACCCATTCCAGGCGTCCAAATCTCTTTTTGTTTCTTCTGCTTCTGCCTCAATAATTGCGGCGCAGATCCCGCCCGGCGGAGGATCTACGAGCTCACCTTGGACGCCCTGAAGGCAACGGCCAACCAGAGGCTCGGGGGGGGGGATTGCCCGAGGCGGTGGAGGCAGCAGCATTCGGAGGCCCTGTCTGTGAGGCACATCACGATCATTTAGGATGCAACTCCAGGGAGGTGAAGTTCGGCGACGAGCGAGGGGGGAAAGTGAAAAGGCGAAGGCCTCAGAAGGTTCGGAAGTCCCCCGGTCTTCCGAGAAGTTTCCTAACCTTTCCCCGAAAACCAGAAAAACATTCTCAGAAGGCGCGACGGTTTCTCAGAAGTCCCGCCGCCTTTGGGAAGGTTTTCCCCTTCTTATTTCCCCCCCTCGTTCGCCTCCGAGAAGTTGGCAGAAGTTTGTTGAATTCTTGCGCGTCGTGGTTGTCCACGTGCTTGGTTTGACTTCGTCTGGCATGGTCCCCTCACCGGGCTAAAATTGTTTGAATCGTTCTTGCGAAGACCTCCCAGGAGTGAGCTCCTGAGGCTGTTTTTGCTACCCCTATCCTGGCAGCCACCAGGATCGCCCCGACAGCGAGCCCCCAGAGCCACTTGTTCATCTCGGCTCGTTCTCTGCAGCTCCTTCGGCCCACCAAGGGCACCAGAGACCCACACCAGCGACAAGAAGCGTCGATCTTGTCTTTTCCCCAGCCGGCAGGTGCGCGTCGCTCACCCTGCACATCTCGGCCGCCAGATCCTCAGGTCCAACGGGAGTCCCCGAGACTCCCACCCCTCCAGACCCGACTCGCTTTCTTTGCATACCGCGGCCGCTAAGTCTCCACGGGAACCGAGAGTCCCCGAGCTCCAGCCCCATGTGAGCATGGCATGCCATGACTCACAGCACACAGCACATCGGAACATGCATGACAAAAAAGCATAACGGTTGAACGTAGCATGGCCGAACATAGCACAAGTCATCGCAGTACCACATACCTTGGCACAGCATAACACAGTAAAGCATGCTATGACTGAGTGGGGCATACATACCGCATGGCAACGTCACACAGCCGAACATGTCATTGTAGAGCATACCATGCCGTAACATAGCATACCATCTCACATACTAAGACGCCAAACCATGCCATAGCATAACACAGCGTCACATACCACTGCAGATCATGACATGATACATCACATCGTGACATAGCGCAGCATGACACCTAAAACGATAACATGACGGACCATTCCATATCAGATCGTGCCACAGCTTAGGATGCCAGTCAATGTCACACCATATCACAGTATAGCCCACACCATATCATTGCAACGCTGTGCAGGACAGGTCGGAGGAAAATAGGGCACAGCACACCAGTTCCTAACATGATAAGCTATACTTGTGATATTAGTGATACCACCTTTGCAGCGACTACACGAACATTTTAGACTGTTACACATGGAAGAGGCATCTCAAGGCAGCCTATAACATGACATACGATGGTGAAGAGGGCGATAGTAGCAACGAAGCGCACGTGCTGTACTAGTTGTGCGTCTTCTACCTCAACTGCACCATGTATGCTCTAATTCCATAGTCGGTATGATATGCTGGAAGCGATACGTCATAAGCTGAACTGAGCGTAACATTATCATATCGCACGCGGTACATAGTTTCCCGCGTACCATCACATACCATAAAATAACATCACATACCATACCATAACAACACAACATACCATACCACGTCATCTTAATGCAGAGCTGATAATATCACTGTATACTCCAATAGATGGTGTTAATCACCTCCGACCGCACGCTAGTATAATCATATGCGTCTTGCACGCCGAGGCCAGGCTGGCCACAGGATTAGACAGGCGCAGCAACGACGGATTGGACGACGTGACTAGCGTGAAAGGCGTCACGACGTGACGCTGGCCTGTCGAGAACAGAACATGATACAACCTCGTCTGATACACAACAGCATGATGGACATACATCATGTTTAAATGCTTCCACATACAGCAACGACCGCATCATTGCGTCCTGCCAATCGCAGCATCCACGCCGACGCAAGGAAGCCAGGCGTAGCTAAGACCGGTTTTCGATATCAAACGCGACAGGTGTCACGACGCCGTGCTGCCTTGCGAGGGCAGAGCTTAACGAACCACATGTACATAGAACAGAACAGGATCAAACATAACGGCATGTATTAGAATGCGACCGTGTAGTGCCCTTGTATCATACGCGACAATCAGCCGCGCCCTTGTTGCCCACATGAACAAAACTAGTAGCAGCGACCGATTGGACGACATATCAAAGGTGACATGCGTCACGACGTAACGTTGGCCCGTCCGGATCAGAACATAGCAGCACATGCCGCCATGCACTACACCTGGTCAGAAACCAAGCGAACATAACATAGCACAGTATTTTTCAGCAGCCACAATTGCTCGGCGTTTCCCCAAGCGAGCATTATTACATAGTCGACCGTACAATCACATAATCAACCGTTACTTCCCACACAAACAATGAACAGGCGCGGCAATACCCGACTGGAAGCCGTATCGAACGCAATTGGCGTCACGACGTCATGCTGGCCTGTTGAGAACACAACACATCATAATACAGTAGATCAGCTTTGCGCATCTAACAGACCAGAAAAGAAAAAGCACGCGATTAAGTATACTTCAGCAGCGACCGAATTATGGCGTCTTACCCAACGCCAGCCACATGCAGACCGACCTCTGGCTGGCCACAAAAAACAATCAGCACCAGGTTCGGGAACAACTGCCGAAGGTTTCGGTGGGGCTCCCTCGGAGCAGAATAATTTTAAGCGAGAGGTCTCGGCAGGGACGGGATGGATGGATGGATGAATCAGGAGTACATGGAGGCTAAGCAGGGGGATGAGGAGAAGGAGGGGTAAGATGACAACGGCGGCGGCGTCCTCGACGACTTGGGTCTCAGTGCTGGCCGCCGCTGGGGAATCTTTTTCCGAGTACCTGTGGGGCCCTAATCCGTCAATAATTTCCACGCATTAAAGAATGACGTCCCAGTAGTTAACAGGGGGGCTTGTTGTTAAAACACAGCGGCTACGTGGGGAGTGGAGAAAGACAGCGTGCGTGTTTGGGGGCCCTTACGTGGGAAGTGGTCAAAGACAGCGTGCACTTTATGGGACCCTCAGAGTTTGCCCTTGGGGGCCCACAAGGGGCACCACAGGTGCGTACGTTTTTTTGCTCGCCCCCTCGTTAAGGAATCGCCCCCTTATGAAGCAGCGCCCAAGGGCCGACTCCCACGAACGCGTTCCCTCGCGAGGAGGAAGAGTAGGAAGAGGAGGAGGAGGAAAAATAGGAGAAGGAGGAGGAGGAGGAGAAGGAACAGTAATAGGACGACAACGGCAGTGACAACGACCACGTCCACGACCACGACCACGACAGTGGGGGAGGAGGAGGGAGGAGGACGAGGGGGAGGCGGAGGGGGAGGAGAGGGAGCAGGGAGGGACGAGAAGACCTTTCCGGAGGACGAGGAGGGTCGCCGTGGAGCTGTGTAGCTTTGGGCCGTCCTGGTGCGCCTCTTCGGCGTCAGTGGGTGACTTCGGGAGTGCGCGCACAGACCCGCACACGGCTGCAGGAGGAGGAGGAGGAGGAGGACGAGGAGGAGAGGAGGAGGAGGAGGAGGACGAGGACGCCGATCTGGAGGACGAGGAGGCGGACGAGGAGGATGAGGCCCCGCCCCCACCCCCAGACCCAGCCGAAACCCAGGGTTGGCGAATCGGCGCCTCGTGGGCTTGGCCAGAGGGCTCCTCGGGGCGCGGCTCCTCGTTTACGCCCCAGGCTTTCCGGGGGAAGGGGGGGCACATCGACCCTCAAAAGGTCTTGGTTGCGGCCTGGGAGGGAAGCAAGTGGGCCGAGGTGGGAGGAAGGGGAGGACTGAAGTCAGAGGAGGAAGAGGTACCCATACCGCTACCCTTGCCTCGTCTTTGCCCTTAGAGGCCTACTGGGGGGGGCATTCGTCGCCAAGGCGTTGCTATCGGGGGCCGATCGTTGACCGATCGGCGATGGCTCGCGGGCGCCAGTTCGGTGTGTCCCCAGTGAGCCGTTCACCCTGTATCGTTGCCCCTCGTTGATCCTCCTGGGCGTCACCGAGGCGGGGGGGGCGGGAGCGGCCCGTTGATGCGAGGTTCTGCGCCTGTGGGTCGGGTGTTGCTGGAAGTGCCCCTGGCTCAAGGTGCCTCTCCCCCAAAAAGACATCCCAAGGTTGCCAAGGTGAGCACCACAGCCTCCAGAGCGCCCACTCGCGAGGCCCACGGGACCCCCGGGCCCCCTAGTGGAGCGAAGAGCTGGGGGCACCCTGGGCCAGAGGCGCTCTGAGCAATCCTCGATTGGGGTCCAGTCCTCAGCGATCCGTGGTCACTCCTAGACTTCAGCGCTGGCGCTGATCCTTGCGTCGCCCAGGGGGGGGGGGTCGGCGACAGTCGAAACACACTACAACGCGCTCGGGACGACCTGTCAGAGGCGTAGGGGGGCTTCCTTCATAGTCAGACTGCACAATTAGTATGGATGGGCAACCTTCCCCAGGATACCCTGGCATCCTTGGCCACGTTCGTCGGCCGCGCCCCGCTCGAGAAGCTTCGACATGGGCGTCCAAGGTTCTTGCATCCTTATCGCGCATCCTTATGATACGGGCCGACTGTATATCCATGTAACTCAATTCCGGTTTAGCGTCGGCCAGCGTCAATTCAGCGTCGATCTAGCGCCGGCTAGCATCGATGAGGGCTGATTCGCAAGAGTCAACGGGATGGTATGAGAGGCTCCCATGACTGACCACCGAAGTATAGAAAAGGGATCAATCCTCTCGCAGAGATGTCTGACATGGCTGCTTGCAGAGAGGGCTCCTGGGAGGCGGGGGGGGCGTCTTCTCGGGAGGCCGCGCCGCTTCGCCAGTCGGTGCGTGCGCGCGCCGCCAGCACTCAGGAAGAAGCACTGCATTTTCGTGTCGTGTCGTGCCGAGTGGCGGCGACCCCGCCGTCGGCACTCAGCGTTGGAAGCCGCCGGCGACCCAGAATCGGTCGATGTTGATCGATCTGGCGTTTCGGAAACGGCAACGTTGAAAGATCCCCGCGGTGTCAGGAACCTGCGCAGGGGTCGGCACGACACCAATTTGCTGTATCAATGGCGTGCTGCGAGTGGGAGCCCATCGGCAGCGTGTTCTTCCCTCTTTTTCTGAAGGCCTGGTATGCCCTCAGCAGCGTCGCGCTGACTAATATAAATGCGGGTTTTTGGTGATTACGGGTTTTGCCTGCCCGAACATTGCAAGGCCTTCCTATTCTGGGGGAGGGATCAGAAGGAAGGGGTTTCCCTTCGACTCGATTTTGAAGTGGCTTGACTTCATTTGGCTGGCGCGCTTGAGGACGGAGGAGGAGGGGGAGGAGGATGACGAGGAGGAGGAGGAGGAGGCCGGAGGGAAAGTGGGGCAGCGGCGACGGCGACGTTGACGACTCAAGCGGAAGAGCGTCCCACGACGACGACGACGAAAACGACTGGGACGACGACGAAAACGGAAAAGCGTTTCATACGCGCCGACGGGGTCGGCGGATTGTTTTTGCTCCCCCGTGCGCACAGCAGAGCCTTGGGGGGGTTGTCCAGGCTTTGGTTCAGCACCTCCGTGAAGCTCGCGAAGCTGCACCTGGAGATGGGCGACGCCTGCGCTCCGCTGCGGCGTCCTGGAACTTCTTCGGCGCTCCTCTGCACGGTACGGGCGCGGACCGTCCGAGACGGCCTGCGGGCGTGTGCGGTCTAAGACCTCGGGCCACCTCTTCAGGGGCACAGCCTCCAGGAGGGATCTCGGGAGCACTCCGGCAGCCCTGGAACGCCATCGTCGAGGCGCAGCTGATGGAGACCATCCAAAATCTCGAAAACGGTTGCAAACGTTTGAGAACCATGTTGGTGAGATTTCAATATACACATGTGTATATATATATATATATATATATATATATATATATATGTGCAGCCCCCCCCAGCACCCACTGATTTTCATCGCGGTTCGCGCAGATCGCACTCGCATTTTCTTTACTGCCAGATTCGGTTCTCGCCCTGAGCCAGCGGCATCGAATAATGAACGTCATCTGGAGAGCCAACCACTTGATCCTGCATATCCTTCCCCTCTTTCACCTCGTCCATCCTCCTCCTCCTCCTCCTCCTCCTCCTCCTCCTCCTCCTCAACCTCAGAAGATGCAAGCGTCCGCTTCCCCCGCCTTTGGGAGAACAGGTATAAGATGTCAGCGGCAGCGCTAACAAGAACGATAAGCGAACCATATGATTTCTCAGGCATTCCAGGGATGCACAGGGATGCTAAGTGACGATCGCTGTGCAGGCTCAGGGATCCCAGGGATTCCAGGGATGCGAAGTCACGATCCCTGAGCAGGCTCAGGGACCCCAGGGCTTCCAGGGATGCGAAGTCACGATCCCTGTGCAGGCTCAGGGATCCCAGGGATCCCAGGGATTCCTAACCCTCCAGCAAAACCGACCTGGGGATCCACCAGCGATCCCGCGCTCAGAATCCCTGGGATCCCTGAGCCTGCTCAGGGATCGCGACGTCGGTTGTCAGCAAACCATATGATTTCTCAGGGATCCCAGGGATTCCAAGGATGGCAAGTCACGATCCCTGAGCAGGCTCAGGGATCCCAGGGATTCCAGGGATGCGAAGTCACGATCCCTGTGCAGGCTCAGGGATCCCAGGGATCCCAGGGATTCCTAATCCTCCAGCAAAACCGACCTGGGGATCCACCAGCGATCCCGCGCTCAGAATCCCTGGGATCCCTGAGCCTGCTCAGGGATCGCGACGTCGGTGTCAGCAAACCATATGATGTCTCAGGGATCCCAGGGATTCCAGGGATGCCAAGTCACGATCCCTGAGCAGGCTCAGGGATCCCAGGGATTCCAGGGATGCGACGTCACCATCCCTGTGCAGGCTCAGGGATCCCAGGGATCCCAGGGATTCCTGACCCTCCAGCAAAATCGGCTTGGCGACTTCGCAAAGATTTGGGGGGTTGGGAATCCCTGGGATCCCTGAGCCTGCACAGGGATCGTGACTTCGCATCCCTGGAATCCCTGGGATCCCTGAGCCTGCTCAGGGATCGTGACTTCGCATCCCTGGAATCCCTGGGATCCCTGAGAATCATATGGTTTGCTGACCACCGACGTCGCGATCCCTGAGCAGGCTCAGGGATCCCAGGGATTCTGAGCGCGGGATCGCTGGTGGATCCCCAGGTCGGTTTTGCTGGAGGATTAGGAATCCCTGGGATCCCTGGGATCCCTGAGCCTGCACAGGGATCGTGACTTCGCATCCCTGGAATCCCTGGGATCCCTGAGCCTGCTCAGGGATCGTGACTTGCCATCCTTGGAATCCCTGGGATCCCTGAGAAATCATATGGTTTGCTGACAACCGACGTCGCGATCCCTGAGCAGGCTCAGGGATCCCAGGGATTCTGAGCGCGGGATCGCTGGTGGATCCCCAGGTCGGTTTTGCTGGAGGGTTAGGAATCCCTGGGATCCCTGTCCCTGAGCCTGCACAGGGATCGTGACTTCGCATCCCTGGAATCCCTGGGGTCCCTGAGCCTGCTCAGGGATCGTGACTTCGCATCCCTGGAATCCCTGGGATCCCTGAGCCTGCACAGCGATCGTCACTTAGCATCCCTGTGCATCCCTGGAATGCCTGGGAAGTCATATGGTTCGCTTATCGTTCTTGTTAGCGCTGCCGCTGATATCTTATACCTGTTCTCCCAAAGGCGGGGGAAGCGGACGCTTTTATCTTCTGAGGTTGCGTTAGAAAAAAACAGCATTCCGCTTGCAACACGTGACTCGGGAAGAGGAACGGAAAGGAGCAGGGACGATGAGAAGAGGATGCGTCTCCAGCTTCGTGGGAGAGGGAGAAGGCGTAGAGTGGGTGCTGGGGGGTGCTGTCTCTATATATATATATATATACATGTGTATACACATATATATATATACACATATATATATGTATGTGTCTATATATAAATATAACAATCGAATATCAGTCGATCATCCCGGACCAGGGACATCAATCGTGTGCGGCGGAAGGACGGAGCAAGTCCAAGCTTCAGCAGGATGACGTCAAGGACCTGGCACGCGCTGAAGGAATATATTGCTGGTGAGTCTGTGAAATTCATCGCCTCCTGATGCCAGAAGTTTGGGGCCGTGCTTGTTCATTGAACGCCCCCGGGGGGGGTAGACGCCGCCCCCCCCCCCTACCGCTTCTGGGCCCGAGCAGGGCCCCGACGAGCCGCTGGGACGGCCGCAGGGCGAGGCCTGGGGAGCCCATCGGAAAGGGCGCCGAGGGGGCCCCCGAGGGGGGCCAGAGGGGCCAGAGGCAACCTGAGGGGGGCGAGTGCTCCGGCGAGGGGGGCCAGAGGGACCCCGAGGGGGCCGAGGGGGGGCGAGGGGGGCGAGTGCTCCGGCGAGGGGGACCCCGAGGGGGCCGAGGGGGGCCAGAGGGACCCCGAGGGGGGCGAGTGCTCCGGCGATCGCAGACATGGATCGAGGGTGCGCGGATTAGCGATTAGCGCCGGGTCCCGTTTCCACGGGGAATCGCGGATTTCCGCCGCCGAGCGAGCATTGGGGAGGGCACCTCCCCCGATCCATGGACGAGGCGATCGCGCGCCAAATCTCAGGAGGGGAAAAACACACAGACACAATGAATCGTCGACTCTCCGGAAAATATGGGAAAATATGGGAAGTGGGGGGAAGACGAACATCCGGAAAATATGCGAAAATATGGGGAATCTTGGGATTTGTATGTATTTACTTGTGTGTCCTTGGGCCCTTCAAAATCCATGGTTCGCTAATCTAGGTTTGCGCGCCCCCGAGAGGGGGAATCCATGCGGATGCAGGCGGCGAGTGCAGGCGGAGTGCAGGCGGAGAGCCGGCGGCGAGCGAGGGGGGGAAGCGAGAGGGAGAAGGCCTCCTCAGCAGGCGGCGAGGCTTCTCGGAAGACCTCCCTGGCCTCCCGAGAGGCTTTGTCTGCTGCCTTCTCGGGGAAGGCCCAGAGAGAACTCCTCGGAAGGCCGTGGGACTTCCGAGCCTTCTCCGAGGGACCGCCCCTCCTCAGTTCGCCCTTTCGCCTTCGCTCGCCGCCGGGGAGACCGGGAAGGGGACAGCAGGCGCCGCCACCCACGCGGCAGGCTCGCGGCGCGCCGACCGGTGCGGCGGCCCCCGAGCGAGTGCGTGCGAGGTCGAGCGCCGCCCGGGGCCCCGAAGCGGCCCGTCGTTGAGTGGGCCGGGGCTCGCGGTGGCTCTCCGCGCTCCTCGTGCCCCTCGGGAGGAGGGGGAGCGGGAAGGAGGCGCGCGGGAGGGGAGGGGGAGCGGGGAGAGGCTCGAGGAGGCGCTCTCGATCAGCAGTAGGAGGGCCCCCAGCCCGTTGGGAGGGGGCCTGAGTTGGGAGGGCCAGGAGCGTGCAGGGATAGGGGGTCTCTTCTGCAAATGTAGGCCAGGCCGCCGAGATCTACGACCCCTCGTTCAGTGAATACTGGAACGTCGGATCGTTCCAGTATTAAGTCGGGCCTGTCCCTCTACAGGAGGAGTATTCAACAACAGTCAAAAAATAGTCTGGGAGGGTTTGTTCGATGTTATTTTTGTTTTTCGGAGGTGTTATTTCCGTCCAAGATCCGCCTGTAGGAAGACACGCCCGACGTAATTAAAGTTTGAACGATCACCGCGGTGTCAGGAACCAACGCCGGGGTCGACACGACGCGAACCTGCCGTCTCCTGGGGAGGCTCCCAGGGGGGAGAACGAGCTGCCCAGAAGGCGCCCAGACAGCTCGGAGGGATGGGGGCTGAGAGGCAGTCGGGACGGCCGCAGAGAGCATCTGCACATTCCAAGAAGGAAGGAGAAGCCCAGGGAGATGCATGGGAGCTCCGAAAGAGGCGCAAGGAGAAGCCCGAGACGGCTGCAATCGTTTAAATCCTATGTCCTATGCTTTTTTTATACGGTTTTTGCTCATTTGGTTTTGCATGCGTTCTGAACCTACGCGAAGGTGGAGAGGCATCCAGACCGGCCCAGGGTGGCCCCAATGACTGGCGAGATGAGCCCAAGACGTCCCCGAAGGCCCCCCCGAAGCCGGCTTGGGAGGCTCCCCGAAAGGTCTCTGAGAGGGCCAAGCGGCGCCCAGAAGCCTGCCACCTGAAACGGGGGCCGTTTTGGGAAGTGAGGGGTAGCCTTCAGTCGGGTCTGTCCCTCTACAGGAGGAATACACAAGAATAGGAACAAATAGAATCGGGGGACGATTTTTTGACCACTTTTGAGTACGTTAGGGCATTTTTTGACTGGTTTCTATTTTTCGTCCAAAACTCCCCTGTAGGGAGACAGGCCCGACTTAAAGGTAGCCAGAGGGCGCCCCGGCCGCGTCCAGGGCCCTCGGGCCTGCGGAATGAGCGGTTCACGGAGGAGAGGATCCCAGGAGGGGTTCCGGGGGGCTCAGGGGCAGGGATGGGCACGACAGGTGCGTTGGCGAGAGGACTCATGAGAGAAACCGCCCTTGCAGATCATGGCGGGTGCACTTCGCTCAGGCAGCCGGCCCAGACTGCATCGCCGTTGTCACTTGACCTGTTTCCGTGAGGATCTGGAAGGTGTTGATTTGCAGGGGTTTCCCACGCAGTCGTGTGAAGTTCGCGT